ATTCACTCCTTTTCGGAAGTTTGTAACGAAGTCAACAGGAATATATCGAGACTCAAACGTCAGTCAGATGTAAAGTACCCAGCCAGGGGCAATTTAGTCTTGGCATGACGATAGTAGTTATCAGGTAGTCAATCTGCCATTCCTGCCGTAGGGTGACCATTGATAGACTTCGTGACAAGGCAGAAGGGGAAAATCTTATTAGTCCGGAAATCCGATGATACTCACAACTTTATTGATTTCGGTATATAAGAGTGGGCTCTTTGGCCCCCCGACCTCTCGGGTCTTAGCTACATATATGTATGTACCTTGTGCAAAGTACCTATCTCCCCGGGTCTAGACAATGAATAGGTACCTAATCTACGTACTCAAAGATAGCTGTCTCGGTCGTCCATGACTAGAGACATTTGCATATACGTTACTGCTCTTGCCTTAGTCTAGGGGGGGAGACAACGGCGGTGAGCAGTTCCTGCCAATTGCTATTACATTCGTCAAAATCGCAATTTGCCTCTCAACACCCCAACACTGTCTTGCATCCAAACCTGACGTATGTACGTACTCGTGCTTGTATATTACAAACGCCATTGAATGACGAAGTCTATTTCTGGAGGGGGACTCATATGTGTTTTATTCGCTGTCGCTGAACCCAACACGCGCGTGCTGTAGGCTGATTCTCAATTGGATTAGTATCACCATCTGCTGCACAATTGGTGAAACGGCGGCGGCTTGCCGCGGTCAAGTGGTGATGTTTTTTTTCTTCTTTCTAGTTTTCTTTTTTTACTTCTGTGCCCATGTCTCACACCAATCCGAATCTCCCCTACTACCTACCTACCAAGTTGCGCGTATTGCCTGTCCACTAGCTTGGCTAATGATAGTTTGTGCCGGTTCTTGGGTTCCTTCCGTCCGCCAATTTGCCAACCGCCGTGAAATCTGGATTTGTGGGTTTTGATCATTTCCGCTTTTTTTATTATCAGATCCCGCTACCCACCAACACCCCAATCCAGTTGGTCGTCGTTGTCGTCCTCTTAAAAGGACCGCCGGTATCCAGCCCAACCCTAATGTAGTTAAATACTCCCGCTCCCAGAAACGACAAACGTGATGGCATGTTCATGAGGAATCACTCAGCCGCAATCTCCGCGTTCTGGCCCATTTCATGTAACTTTTGCCTCTATGGGGGGGCACAAGGCGTGCCCGCTTGAAGCGCATAAGCGCTTGCATCGCATGGTGCATGGCAGATAGCCTTAATGAAAGTTCCACGGGATTCTTCAAGATGTCATGCCAGTGAAGCTAGGGTCTCTTTGCAGATAGAGGCAAATAGTGCACCACAATAAGAGTTGGCCCAGTAATTGGGTCTTGATATCTGGAGTTACACTATAGCTAGGATATTCTTTCTATGTTATTGGGCGTCTAGAGTATTATTCTCAGGTTATGAGAATATCTAAAGTCCTCCCGACTCAACTTATGTCTGGCCCCCGGCTTATCTGTTATCCATGGCACAATTGAAGCCATGACAAGTGGTGGTCGGGCCCGCCCAATTGATATCATTATCGAACCATACATACCCCACTCTTGCGCCTGGGGAGTAAGATTCGAGTCTTGAGTCAAGCAGGCCGTTTAAGATCTAATAGACATCAGCTGCCCTGTCCTCAATTAAGCCTACTCACGTCATCGAGAAGGAATCTCCAAAAGCTCCATGAACAGCGAATAAACGTTGATTCAATATTCCCAGCCGTAACCACTATTCCATGACCAACAGAAACGGTGAAGCTTCCTATCTCGATTCCAAGCGCGGGGCTTGAATTTTGAGCTTTACGCTGAGGGGTCCATCCAGACATGCATCCCCCCCCCCCCTTTTCTTTTCCCCACACACGCTGAACCCTGCGTTATGTAGAGCTAGTAGGCTAGACGTCAGACGTCCATTGTACACTTTGAACTGTGATTGTCTCCTCGGACATGGACAGTTGGATATTCAGCTCGGATCGGATCACGCAGTGCTCGGATGTAAATCCCAAGAAAGAGCGGGCCGATGCTACAGTTTCCGGTAGAATTATTGCGAAAGTCAGAGCTAAAAGAGTGGATTTTGTTGGTCTGTGCTCGTAGCAAAAAAATCTTTTAAGGGCCAATAGGACACTCGGGTCACGGGGAACCCACTTTCGCAATAATTCTACCGGAAGCTGTACTCACAATTGAGGTGCATGTAAAGTGACCGGCAAGCCTATCGTGAAACCAAGACACTCCATATACGAGGGCGCTCTAGCTATCATTGGCTTCCAACGATCTCAGCAAGGATTCCAGTAGCGAGCACAGTCCCGCCGGTCACTGTACGGCAGCTGATTACATATATTACCCACCGGCGTCTCTTGGAGGCAGGTATATTGAGATTCGGGAGAGGGCATCGTAATGTACGTGCTTCTATTGGTGGGAGGGAAATCGGTGCTCAATCCCTGCTGGAGATCAGACTCTACTGCATACCACGTAGGGCGTCTCGGCTGATTGGGTGGATCTTGATTTCCGTGGCTAGTCCGGGGAAATCTACGGGGCTGAACCGTATCTGAAGATTGAATTGCTCTTTTTTTTTAGGATCAGCGGTAGTTAAATATATAGGACCAGGGTACTTTGAAGATACAGGAGAGTCTTTAGTAATGGTAGCATCATATTGTGGTGAACTTGTACTTACCTAGTTATCCTTAAGTAATGACTACTCGTTTACAGCCATAAGAGCTAGGAAGTACAGGTGACGGATATAGAACCGCAATTCTTTACTTTCCGAGTGCAAGAGAGTCTTTAGCTAGCCGTATTGTTGGAGCAATCCAGAGACGTAGATTATGATTGCTTGTGTTGGTGGTGAGAAGAGAAGAGAGATAGACCTCGTCCTTCTCTTCTCATAGCTAAGTCTAACGACACGTCTAGCTATGATGACAACTATCTCGTAGTCCTAGCTTTGTGGCACAGTCCCTTCACTAAGCCACCTACTAAATAAGTCACATGATAACTACCGCATACGTGGTAGTGTCTTTATCCCTAATGACTAAGTGTACTGTGGTCTGAAGTACTCGTTTCCCTCCCAAGGACTAGGAAACACAAGTGAAGCAATAAAGACAGAAAGTACGACCACTCTATACAAATCATCCCCGTACCAATCAACTCTATTACAGTCGTTCACTGAGTATTGACGGACACCGAGTGTTGGTAGATTTAGCAAAAAAGAGATATATGAAACAGCTGAGCTCTGGCTTCCCCATTGTCTTAAACTCCCTGTCAGTGAACATCTAGTGTCTGTCATCGCCGAGCTGCAGTGAACGACAGCTAGTACACCAAGACCAAAAAAAAAAAAGGCCAACTTGACTCAACCCCTGAACCCGAAACCTCCCCCACCATCCGCATACCATCCGCATACCCCTCACCTAACCACCCTTGGCACCATGACGACTATCAGATCTACACAGTGCCGGCCCTAACAGTCAATCGGGCGAGCCGGCCGCTGACGTGACGTCAATATGAGCATATAAATCCGCCGAGTGACAGCGGATGCCCGAACTATCGTCACTGATCTACTACACTGCGCATACGGCCCCACCCCAAGGCTATATGTGTATGCTGCAGATACGGGCAAAACATCGCTCCTCTGCCACGAGGATGGAGGAGGAAAAAAGGGGGGGGGGGTGTCCTGGTAAAGTAGGTTGGTGGGTAGGCAGGCATATTATTGTAATTGGCCTGCTGGATCTCGACCAGTCGGCCTGCCCGGAAGCTCCTCGTATTTATCCAGTCATCATTGCTTACTTATCTTTAGACCTAGGAGGGTATCGTCATTGAGGTAGTGAATAGATTGAGGAGGCATGGGATCATCGGGCTGAGCACAATTAATGATGTAACAGAAACAAGGCACTGGATCATGGAGTATCACTCGGTCTTGGTGACGTCCGCTTTGGGGACTCTTTCATGCGCACGCGGGTTGGTCGAATAGCAGAATTACCACAGGGGTCTTATCTTTGTTGGGGAGGTGAGTAGTAGTTGCTTGGTGTACTTGAAATTCCGTTTATTAGTGTATATTCAAGAACTTCATTTTTGAGCTTACGATACAACTTGGAATACCTACCAGATATTTATAATTTTATACGGAAAAGAAGAAAACAACTTAGATCTCTCTAGAGGCACATTGAGGCCATGGATAGGTATAAAAAAAAAAAAGGTACTCTAAGTTCTACTGAGGTTGGGACACGACTACCCGTATAAGATGTAGGCACATACCCCCTGTAGGGAGGATCGACTGGAGCTTGAAAACCTGCTTCCCGGCCCTCCAGATTTTCATTCACCGGATTTCCAAGTTTCTGACTGAAAATAATATAGTTTTTAAGCTCACTCGACTTTTCTGTTGAAAAAAATTACCAAGAAAAAAAAATTATGCGGCCAAGTGACGGGTCCCGACGAAACTAGGGTTGTAAAGGAAATATTGAAGCCAGATCCTGTTGATCCTATGTCTGATCATAACCTCGTCGGCTTTAGGATCTCTCCGCCTGCATACTTTTTTCTTTTAACAAAAAAGAGAGAGGTGAGCTTAAACGCTCTAATAAGGGAGTATGTACAGCAACCCTTAGCTGACCTAACGCTGTAGACGCCTTCACGGGGGTATGGTCAATCTCAAATATACGCCGGAGTGATATAAGATACGCAGGGAGCGATCGACTACTTCTTTTGGTTTCTACTCAAAATCTTGGAACTGACCATACCCCCGTGAAGGCGTCTACCTTAATTATGATACAATATCTGCCTTGCTGACCAACCCCAGCAGCCTAGGTAAATTACCCGCGTGGGGGGGGGCAATCCGCAGCGCTGTGTTCACGAATTTATACCTTATTATAATAGCGGCGCCAATGTGATTTTCAGGAACTACATACATGCCAGGAACCATGCCAGTCAGGAGGAGAAACAGAGTATGCAGATCTCCTCAACGCACAATTTTTCCCACACAATTCGAATTCCTCCATCCAGCAGAACCCACCCGCCTACGGCTTCAACTCGCCCTGAATCGTCGCCACCACACTCCTCGCATGCCTCGCCCTCCGGAACTCCATATACCAAATCCCTACATACGCCCCCCCCCCAATTAGCCCCCCCCCGCCCCAATCTCTCTCTCCCCCCAGGAAAGAACACAACTCACCCTGCCACGTCCCCAACGCCAACCTCCCATCCGTCACGGGCACCACCACACTCGCACCAATGAGCGCACTCTTCACATGGGCCGGCATATCATCGCTGCCCTCCGCATCATGCCGATACATCCCCTCGCCCGTGCGGTCCTCGGCGACGATGCGGTCCATGGCGTCGCTCATGTCCAGGCGCACGTCGCTGTCCCAGTTCTCGTTGAGCGACAGCGCGCACGACGTGTGCTGCATGAACAGGGTGAGCAGCCCGACGCGGTAGCGCGAGAGCTCGGGGAGAAGGGAGGTGATCTCGTCGGTGATGAGGTAGGAGCCGCGGGGGCGGGGGGTCAGTTTGAGGGTTTTTTGGTGCCAGGGGGAGGTCATGGTGGTGGTGGTGGTGGTGGGAGTGGGAGTGGGGGATGGGGGGGTGGTGAAGTGGTGGTGGTGGTGGTGGTGGCGGCGGCGGTGATGGGTGAGAGAGGTGGATGGTGGGGAGGTGAGAAGTGGGAGGTTGGTGAGAAATGACGTCGTGGTGGGGTTGTGCGTGCGGTGGGGTGGGGGTTGGATGAGTAAAAGCTACAGGGATTCTTCACCTCCTCTACCCAAAAACCCAAAGACCAAAAAAAAACCTCATTCTATATTACAGATTCTGGTAGAATTAATGCGAAAGTGGGTTTTCCGTGACCCGATAGTCCCATTGGCCCTCAAAGGAAATTTTGCAGTGAGCACGGGCCAAGAAACCCACCCTTTTAGTTCTGACTTTCGCAATAATTCTACCGGATACTGTACTGTCTACATAACCACTTCAAACCCAATGACCCCAACTCCAATCCCCCCAAAAGACCGGCCACCCACACCCACACCCTAACCCACCCAGATGATCCACAACGGAAATGATAGCAACGGCCGGAAAAGCGCCCTCTGGCTACATCTAACTGTGTACATACTAGCTCCGCGCGCGCGCTTCTCAGTTGGGATGAATAGTAGATGCCAAGGATAGCAGAGGAGCACATGTAGACAATTGCTTTTTTTATTATCGCTGTGGCTGTCATTGGCAGTGGGATATATTTTGCTACTGGTATTGTTTAATGGGCTAGCTATATAAGCTAGCTAGATGTATGTAGATGATTGGTACAGTACATGTACAGGCGGTGGAGTAGATCTAGAACTACGTGTATATTATCGTGAGAGAGAGTAAAGAAAAGCAAGAAAACAAAAAGAAACAGCCCCCTATTCCCCCTCCCTCCCACCCCCCGCCCCCTACAACTTCGCCTTCGCCCCCCCCTTCCTCCCCCACCTCCACCTCCCCCACAAATTCCCCACCAACACCCACCCCCCCACCACCGGCCCCCCAACCCACCACACCCACCTCCACCACCCCGCTCTCCCCACCGCCAACCCCTCCACCACCCTCCCCAGCTCCGCCTCCAACTCCTCCACACCGCCATCATTCACCACCACCACGCCCCTCCCCCGCCGCCCATACACGCCCTCACACAGCGCGACCTTCTCCCTTAGCGGCATCTGCGCCGCCACGCGCCCCTCCGCCTCCTCCCGCGTCAGGCCCCCGTCCCGCGCCAGCAGCCGCCCCAACTGCACCTCAGCCGACGAGACAGCGACGACCAGCACGGCGCCGCAGAGCACGTCCAGGCGCGCCTCGAAGAGGAGCGGGACGTCGAGCACCACGGCCCAGTGCCCGCGGAGGTAGTGGCGCAGGAGCTGCTTATACCTATCGCCGCTTCACATCAGCACACCGCACTTCCCCCCCAAACTGCAAGGAGGGGAAAAAAAAAAAAAAAAAAAAAAAAAAAAACATACATCTCCCACCTGACGGCCGGATGCGTAATCCCATTCAGCGCCTCGCGATCCCTCCTCCGCTCCTCGCCGGCGCCAAACACGCGCCGCCCGAGCGCGGGCCGGTTCAGCGTGCCGTCGGCGTTCAGGAGGTCTGGCGTGCTCGCGGCAAAGTGCGAGACGATGCGGGCGTGGGCGCGGGTGCCCGGGAGGACGACGGTGCGCGCGAGGACGTCGGCGTCGATGATGGGGAGGTTGTGCGGGGGCGAGGAGAGGATGCGCGAGGCGGTGGATTTGCCCGTGGCGATGGAGCCGGTGAGGCCTATTAGGAGCATTGTGTTGTAGGGTTTGTGGGACGAGTGGTGGGCCTGGGGCTATGGTGGGGGGTTGTGGGAGATGGAGGTATGGGGGCCGGGTCCTGGGGTGTTGTAGCGCAGGGGTGGCCGGTGGCCGGTGGCCGGTGGCATGTGGGGATGCTTCACAGCTTGAGTGTGCCAATCTGCGCGTGTGCTTATTAATCAAGTGCATGGTGTGATTGATGCTCGTTCTCGTTCTCCTTCGCGGGAAAGAAAGTCTGCGGACGCATCGTGGGTGTCAAGTGTCAATGATCGCGTCACCCGTTCTGCTGCGTCTCACGCTCACTTCTCGACGTCGGCAACAGCAATGGCAACAGCAATGGCAACGGCAACGGCAACGGCAACGGCAACGACGAGTGACGCGCGGTGACCGGGACGAGCCGAGTCTCAACCGAGTCGGGCAGCAAGAAAGAGGTTTAGATGAAAGATAATATACAGGTCCCACCCACAACAACAACAACAACAACAACAACAACAAAAAAGCACTTTTTCCCTTCCCAGATGATAGATTGATAGATTTCCCCAGACAGACAACCGTATTAAAAATGAAACAAGAAAGTAAAAAAAAAAGAAAAAGAAAAAGAAGAAAAATGAAGAAAAGAAAGCTAGGCACGAATGGATTGCATCGCCCCATTTTTATACTGATACTCGGCAGTCTAGGACATGGCCAGCTGTGCCCGCGCTCCATCCAGGGGGGCTGGTTGTTTACTTCCTGGACTTCTTCTTGGCGGGGCCGTCGTCCTCGCTGTCGTGCGCCTCGCCGGCGCCGTTGCGCTTGCCCTTCTTGCCCATCTGGGCAAGGAGGGCGGAGGCCCCGTTCTTGGCGAGCTCCTCCTCGGCCTCGCTGTCGAGCTCGATCTCCTCGTCGTCGTCCTCATCATCGCCTTCCTCCAAGGCCTCAGCTATCGCACTGTCAGTTCCCCCCCCCATCCACAGAGCAGTCGAGATCAGAGAGGATTAACGGGGACTTACTAAAGTACTTTGGCGCGTTCGGATACATGTCCTCCGAAATCTGCACCGCAACCTCGTCCCCGTTCGGGAACACCTCGACAGGCCCTTCATCCTCCTCCTCCTCATCGTGGCCGTGGTCACAACCCCCCTCCGCATGCTCATGCACCTCCCCGAGCGCCTCGTGCCTCCCGGTCCACGCAAACCAGTTAAAGAAGCTCGTCGGCCCCTTCTCCATCAACCCCTCCAGCTTCTTCGCCCCCTTCCCACCCTTAACGCCCTTGACCCTCTCCTCCCACGCCTCCGCCGCTGCAGCAGTGACCCCCTCCGTCAAGTCCTTGCCCTCCTTCCAGCCAATAGTCACGGGCTTGCTCGCCAGCCCGCCCGCGCTCGGCTGGTACTCGAAAGTCTTTGCCAGGACCTCATCAGCGAAATACTCGTTCGCGTCAAACGTAAACTCGATGCGGACCGAGCGCGGCTCGGTGGTGAGGTCAGGGCGAGTGACGTTTACGTTGCGGAGATACTTGCCGAGGATGTGCGCGTCCTCGGGGGTGACGAACTCGTCGAATTGGAGGGCGGACGAGGCCTGCTCAAAGGTGAGGGGCCAGAAGTTGTGGATGCGGGAGGTGAGGGCGTTGCGGCGCGTGAAGAGCGGGGCCTGGCGAATCGTGGTTTCGCGTACTATGTTGATGTTGTGTTAGTTATCCGGGCAGCTCAGAGGAAGGGAGGAGAGGGAGGAGAGGGAGGAGGAGGAGGAGGAATAAACATACGGATATCGACATCAACCATCTCAAACTCCTTCTCGAGGCCCGCCAGATCCGCAAGAGCGGATTGAATCGCCTCCTGGTCAATGGGTTGCTGTTCTTTTGACATTGTTGTTTTCGTGAAGTGTTATGTTTTTTTTTGATGTTGATTGTGCGTGTGGTTGGTTAATGTAGAAGAAGGGCGCGGAATTTTTTTTTTTTTTTTTTTGGTTTTGAGGCTGCTGCCTGCTGGTGCTTGGCAGAGCTGGGGTTAGGGTTGAGGGCCCGTCATGCATTGGTAATGATCGTTGCGGCGGCATTTTTCTGTTGGCCCGCGGGTTGTTGGCGTGGGCTGACTGGGGGCGAGGCGAGAATGAGGTGGCCTTGGATTAATAATTACTGACTGAAGATTTATAGAACTACTTATCAGTAATCAACTCTCAGGAAAATCTAGATACTGGAACGTACAACAGCTCATCATTTGAGAGATATTCCCAGTATAACTGGGGTATTGGTGTCGCCTACAGGCTACAGCTCCTACGATAGAGATTTATGGAATCTTTTAGAGCTCCTGAGTTTAATCTTCCTCTTTCCCTATGATCTAGTGGAGGCAGTAATACAATGTCGGAAACAGCTTTCTGTACTAAGCTACTCAGGTTTCTTTCAGACTGGATACTAACAATTAGCATCTTATAACTAACCAAAAGGGCATAGGACTATAACCAGTTTATAACAAGCATTCACTTGGCTTAGTGTGGTCCACGAGGACGAGCGTCCCTGCGCCCTTGCCTCGAGGAAATGTCCTCGATGAAATACAAGGACAGTGGCCTAAAAGGACAAGGAGTCTCGAGTATCCTACCTGTCCTTGCCTCGAGGACCCCCAAGGACAATTCTTGGCATATTATACACCTATATCTGCCCGATTAAGATGAGGTCAAATATCCTTTTCTGTGAAATCAATACCTTTTTTTTTTTTTTTAGCTCTCCCGGAATCGTCCTCGAGGTTCCTCGAAGCACCTCGTGGACCACAATGACCTGGCTGGCTGCTCGGTGTGGGAGTTGGTTCGACAGAAGTATCTTTGGTGATAATTTTGTTCTATTATGAGGCTTGGGGCTTGGGGGGGGGGGGGGGGGGGCCTCTTTAAATACCCTACTAGCTTCCCTCAGCGTCGTGCTGTTCTCATGTCTTTGCCACGACATCTCAATCTGTGCACATAACTGTAACTGTAACTACTATGCTCCCACACTCGGGAAAGGTTGTTATATGTCATTGCATACTATGATAATTACAGCAGAGACAACTGGACGATATGGACTTAAATATGATCACAAAGATCCTATATTACTCCATTGTTGGATAACTTAGCCAGCATCAACTGGATGAGGGCCAGATCAGGTCTATTTCTAACCAGGTACTTGAGCAGTACTTGTGTGTGTCGAGCATATTTACACAGCCCTTATATAATTAAGCTTGGTTATATGTAAGTGTTAGGTAGAACGTGAGTTGGTGAAGAAAACGCATAGCTTTAATATATCTAGGACGCCCAGCGCCCCTCGATGCTCATCTAGTAGCCCCAAACCATCTAGGAATTCGCCCCGTTCCATATCATGATCACTGCCCCAGCTATAAGTAATGAAAGCGGTGTTATCTTCCGCACACCAAGCCCGAATACATCTTCCTAACCAAACACATACCACCCAGTTAACCATCTCACCCTACCATAACGTGAAGCGCGGACACTGACATTAACTCGTCTCTTCTCCGGCCACGACAGAGCTATCGGCTTCACATGGTATACAGTCTATGTTACGTTGACGATAAGACGTAGCCACTGTCTGATAGGAGTGCATCTTGATCTTATACGATCTAACAGTAGGGCAGCATTGGAACAAATTTGGCATCTCCCATCGTATCATGAACCATCACTCGCGCCCACCCACCACACCCCCCCCCCCCCCCCCAAAATCCTTCACACACCCAACCACACACACGCACAACACATCAACAAAAAAAAAGTATATATTCGACCCTCGCAACGAAAACCTACAAATGCAAAAAAATTGACAGAGAAAAAAGCCCCACACACACGCACACAACACGGAACAGAACACAACAAGAGGGAGGAGGGATATAGCGGTCGTAGTGTACTGTACATCAACCAACAACGCACACATCCTCACCAACGCAACCCTAGCTTCTAGTTCTATCTACCCACTACCCATTTTTTCCTTCTTAACCGACAAACTGATAATTCTACCCTGGCCGAGAGTCTAGCGCTTAGAAGTTACGGCTGGTGTCGCCGCGGATGCGCTGGTAGTCCAACAACTATACCACACGTTAGCACGCATTCCCCTACCAATACTACAATCCTGATATGGGGGTCTTACTCCTTCAATGCTTCCCAACGCACTAACAGCAACATCCTGATCCCAAATCCTGTCCTGGGCGAACTTCATCACGTCCTTCTCCGTGATCGCGCCAACAACCCTCTCAATCTCAGCAGGGTTCATCCTCCTTCCGGTGGTGATGATCTGGCGGCCAATGTCCTCGGCGACAGCGGTGGTACCGTCGAGCGAGAGCAGGAGCGAGGCCTTGAGCTGGGCCTTGGCACGCTCGACCTCGGTCTCGGTGACAACCTGGGCGAGGCGGGTCCATTCGCGGAGCGCGAAGTGGACGAGGTCGTCGATGCGGGTGACCTTGTCGGTGACGAGGTAGATTCCCCAGAGACTAGATAGATGGTGTCAGTATGGTAACTCTGTGCTGGAATTTGGGGCGGAGAGGAGGGGGGATGTTACCCAGTGTCGGAGTATGAGGTGCTGAAGCTCATGAATGAGTTGCAAAGCTGGTGCTTGTGCACGAATGCCGAGAGCCTGCTGCCCAAGTGGCCAGCGTTACCCATAGCCCTGTCCCAGTTACCAATGATAGCTTGGGCAACAAGGGCAGTGAAGTACTGGGGGTCCTTCCAGCTGACACCCTCGACGGCGATGGCAATGTGCGCAGTGGGGATAGTGTCGTCCCTCATGCGGACCTCAGAGCCAACAAAGTCGGGCTTAGCACCGCGGGCGCTGCCAATGCTGAGGTTGCTGCCCGAGGGTTTCAAGCCCGAGAAGTGCTTCTCGGCAAGCTCGACGAGCTGCTCGTGGGGGACTCCACCAGCACCGACGAGGACCATGCGGTCGGCCTTGTAGTTGGTTGAGATGTAGTCGGTGAGGTTAGCCCTGCTGATGGAGAGGATGTTCTCCTTCGGGCCGAGGATGGTGCGGCCGAGCGGCTGGTGCTGGAAAGCGGTGGCGTGGAGGTGGTCGAACACGACCTCCTCGAGCTGCTTGTCGACCTCCTCCTGCTCGCGGAGAATCACATCACGCTCACGCTCGATGGCGGACTCCTCGAGCTTGGAGTTCTGCAGGATGTCGGCAAGGATCTCGACAGACTTGCCAACGTCGTCCTTGAGCGATTTGGCGTAGTAGACAGTGTTTTCACGCTACACAGAGATAGCAATGTCAGTCCTCTCGAAGTATTATCGGATTGTAGAAAGGAAAGGTAAAAAAAAAAAAAAAAAAAAACGTACAGATGTATAAGCGTTCAAGTGACCACCCATGTTCTCGATCTCCAGTTCCAGTTGATGCTGCGTCCTAGTTTTTGTCCCCTACCAAACATCCACCCATGCGTGAGCAACACTATATCCCTCCCGAAAAAAATATCCCTCAAGCTCAATTGTTTCCTACCTTGAAAGCCAGATGCTCCAAAAAGTGCGCAGTCCCGTTCGTCGCATCCGTCTCCGCCCTGCTCCCGGCATCGATAAAGACACCGACGGTTGCCGTCTGCACGTACGGCGAGTGCTCGGTCGCAATCTATACCCCTCATCATCAGCCCACCCGTCACTCACTCTCCACCATTGCACCCCGCTCCCCGCAACATGGCGAAGTATACTCACGGTCAATCCATTGGACAGGGTTGTCGACTGCGTGATGACGCCGGGCGTCAGGACCTGCTGGGGGGCCTGCGAGGCGAGCGACTTTGTGAGAGCCGGGAATTTTTTCGGGACGAGCAGGCCGCTGGGCCTCCGGAGGGAGGACGCAAGGGCGTTTCGTGCTACTCGGGCGGCGGCCATTGGTGATGTGATGTGAGAGGAGAGATGGAAGGGGGGTGGGGGGGGGAAGAGGTCGCGGAGTAGTGGGGGGAATGAATGGGAGCGAGGGATAAAAACGTTTGGGCGTTAATTGTTCGGTTTCGGGCCTTCTCGCGATGTTCAGGTTTGCTGGGCCTGGATTACCCGGCTCCGGCGTAGTGGGGAGAACGGACGGGCGCGGGGTGGGGCGCGGATTACTAATGGGGAGACAGCCTGGTTCCGATTGGTTCAGGGATCATTGGCTCTGGATGTTTCGAGTGCGTGAGGATGAAGATACATACTAGTAGAGTTAATACTACAGCAATGAGGAAACACTCGGATGTGTGGAAAGAGAGAGCGTGTTTGGATATGACGTAGATCATGTAGCTTGAGACTGTCTCTTATTTGATATAAGATATTGTATTAATGGGCACTATTAATCAATGTTTGAAGGTCTTATATCGATGTCATTGGTGTTGCTTGGAGTTCATGATTCAACTTATGAGTATAATTCGTATATCTGCCTACATATGCCTAATTTTCACCAAAGAACTATGGAAAACGCAGTAAGAACACAATGATAGTATCGCCGATTCATATATAGAAGAAAAAGAGAAAGAGATAGAGAAAACCACAAAGAAATGACCAACCATAAAAGACCGCAATATCGTCAGCTGGAGCTCCAATAAGATGCCCAAAACGCCTATAAAAACCAAAGCCCCCTCCAATAAGCACCCATCATGCCTAGGCCTTCTGCCCAAACAACCCTCCCAGAAACCACCCCGCCCACCCCCCCTCCTCCCCCTCCTTCGCAAACTCCACCACAAACGCCCCCTCATTCACCTTCCCCACCTCCTTCACCACCTTGACCCTCTCCTCCGCCAGCATCCTCTCGACCTGGGGGCGAATCTTCGCCACCCCAGCCACACTATGCAGGCCCCTCCCGGTGATAATCGTCGTCCTCCCCACGCCATTCCTGCGGCACAGCCTTAGATGCTCCTGCACCATCGGCAGCGCCTCCGTGACATGCAGCCCATGCAGGTCGATCTCCGCCAGCGCCGACGCCGCGGAGCTCCCCGAGAAGAGGCCGAACAGGAAGGCGGCGCCGCTGCGGGTGCTGTGGTGGTAGGTGGGGTTGTTGGCGCGGAAGATCTCGGCGGCGGCGAGGGCGTTGTAGGCTTCCATGCGGGTTTGGTGCACTTTGGAGGCGTTGGAGAGTTCTTTGGCTTTGGCTTTGTTGTTTTGCGCCCAGGCTGTGGGGAGAGAGATGTCAGTATATAAGTTTATATGAGAAGAAGACGGAAGAGGAATTAATACCGGTCTGTGACTGCTGAGAGAGGTCCCGGCGTAGGCCTGCTTCCTTCTTTGCCAGCTCTCTGTTGCGAGAACCCACTTCCTTGCCGCTGCTGTCTCTCACGGGGTTGGACTGTGTCTGGCCCATCTTCGATTTTTAAAGAGAATCCCACTATCACCAAGCAGTAGAATGATGGCAAGCCGTGAGCGAGGTTGCAAAGCAGCAGCAAACTCGAGTAGTAGTAGTAGTAGTAGCTAGAACGTCGTAGCCGGTATATAACGTAGCTAGCAGAGGCAGAACAGCTCCTAGCTAGCTAGCTCTACGCAGCCTCCATATATATACATCCACGGGCCCTCTACTGCCCTGCCCCGCCCCGCTCTGGCCAGGGACGTACGCGCATGCCCTGCTATGTAGCTACCAATGGATGGATGCGCTGTTGTTGTAGAGTATTCGAATGATCCATCCATACCGGCTTCTCATTGGCGGTGTCTTTGCTGCTGCTACCTTGGACTGCCAGCGATGGGGTTTCAGCTACCTGGTACGGTGATCAGCGCGGCGCGGCGCGGCGCGGCTGTGGGCGTGTAACGCGACGTGTTACATTAATTAACCTCGCGGGTTACTTGCGCGCGCGGCTACGGGCGGGAGATCGGGAATGGTTGATATGGGTAGGCAGCGATTACTGCTTTGGGGAGGGGGAAGGAAGCCTGTTTAGATTGTCGCCGGTGTTTTATTACGGAGAGGTATTATGTACACCCGCAGGAAAAAAGTGAGTAGCGTGACAACGAGTGCGTCCAACTTGACATCCCCGCACCCGCAATACAGCCCCACGAGTATTCACTAGCCATGCCCTTTGACAAGTCCGGAAAGCGAAGAGAGGCTACTCTGAATGAAAACATAAAAGTTATTGAAGCCCAAGCTAGGGAAGAGTGGGAAAGGCCATATTGAGAAAATGTATATAAAATCATTGACAGCATACCAAAGAGAATTGCAGCAGTAGTAAAGAATAAGGGAAGTCATAAAAAGTGGTAAATATAGTTCAGAGGCCGTAGTATCTATTCTGTATCTCATTGTGTAGTTCTGTTACTTCTATTCATTTCTATTTTCACTTTTTCATTGGGGTTCGGATTGGTTGCATTCGTTGTTTCCTCACTTTTTTCCTGCGGGTGTACATCTAGTGGTATGCGATGGCTGGTCAATGACAGATGGGCGGGTTTGCAGCTGGCTGACTGGGCAATTGCAACGATCAGTTGCTGCTTTGGGTGACGTCGAAATACGCAGAACACCTAGAGTAATAGATACATACATGTAAGTGACTGTCAGCTACGAACTTAGATAAAGCTAGAAAATCTCGTAGTCCTGTTAATATCACCATCGTCCCTTCTATCATCCGGTAGTTCGGTCTTGCTACAGCCATTTGAATACGCACTGCCTTGCAGTACTGCTTTGGGAGACGGAGCACTCAGAACACTACACCGTTAATAAATTTAAATACTACTTGTAATGATATATACAATACTCACGCCATATATAAATAATACTCACAATCTACATACTACTCACGATATATACAATCCTCACGCGATACTACAAACCCAACACCAATTCAAGATCCAGTAGAAGCGCAGCCAAGTCCATTTTTTATATATGTGCAGCCACCTATTTACACGCACTCCCCACCGCTCGAGCAGCTTCAGAAGAAGAAGAAATTACAAAAATACAAAAAAAACAGCCTACACCATACCATTGTAGTAGACCTTCCTGACATCCACAAACTTCTTTCCCCTGCCGCGAGCAATGGTCTCGGGCAGCTTCTGGCTCCTCAGGGCGTGCATGGTGGCCTTGATAACGTTCATGGGATTCCTCGAGCGAGTGGCCCGCGCTGAGAGATCGTGGATTCCAGCGCATCTGGCAATCTCAAAGACGTACTGCGAGCAGCGGACACCGAAGCCTACAAGCAACATCACAACCATCAGCTCCAACCCCCCAAAACCCAAAAAAAACAAAAGGAAAGACCAAAACCCACCCGGCGGCCTAGAATACAGCCCCAACTCCACGGCGCCCAGCTTCACCTCCACATCGCCATAAATCGTCCTATTCTCATACCTCGGGACCGGCTCCAAGTTCCTGACGGCCATATACGTCGCCATCCTCTGACTATCATCATGCTCGACCGCCTTCCCCTCACCGATGCCCACAAGCCCATTCCCATTCCCCGCCACCGCCAGCGAATAGATCTTCTGGATCTTGCCCATATGCGTCTGGTTCACCACGCGATGCGTGACCAGGATCTTCGTCCGGAACTTCGCCACCTCACTCTCACTGAACCCGATGCGCCGACTGACATCGCGGATCCACGGCACGGCCGCCTCGTCCCCCCCCTGGAACGGGTCCTCCATGACCGGCAGCGGCTGCAGCGGGTGCCCCGCCACATACTCCGGGGGCGAATGGTGGCTGGGAAAGTCGAGCGTCGGATCAATGGTCGACAGGTCGTCGAGGTATCTCAGCAGCATGGGGTCCGCCTCCGAGCGGCGGACGCGGCGGTCAAAGTCCGATCTGGAGATCGAGGTCTCGCCGGCCAGGAAGGACGTGATCTGGGCGGGCGAGTAGTGCTTGCGGAGGGCGGCGATGTCGGCCGGCGTGTAGGGCGCTGAGTCGGCCGAGTGGGTGACGGGCGGCGGGGGCGGGCGTTTGTGCATGTGCAGGGCCGGCGTGGTGGTGAGGGTGCGGCGGAAGGGCTGCAGGACGCGGCCGAGGGGGCGGGTGACGCTCATGGTGGGTCAATTGCGGGTTTGCGTGCTGCGGGCGTGGGCTGCGGTGTGTGATAATCGTCAAGGGTTTTGGAGGTGAAACTTTTGGCGGGGCGTGGAGGGCAGGGTTAGGGGTGCTAGGCCTTATTGGAACATAACATAGAATTTGTGCTTCAACTCGGTCAATCATGATCATATTCTGTTTGTATGATAGTATATTTATATCTACTGTAATGGTGCATTTTCTTTGGGAAACCGTCTCTATGGTGATATTTTACAAATACAGGAATGTACAGCTGCTCCCAGCTCCGCAATTCTGCTACTGCTGGAGCCGTCTGGTGCCAGCGGATGCTACTTGCTATGCTCAAGGCAATAGCAAATTTAGAGGCAAGCAAACCCTCAACGTATGAAAAGAAAACCAGGAATCACGAAAAGAAAAGAAAAAAGAAGAAAAAAAACGCCTCAGACTCCGACCCACTTACCAGCAAATCTACACCTCTGCCGCTGGTATCTCCTATTTTTTTTCTCCCCCAAAGGCAGTAGTAAAAAAACCCCGCTACTACTGCCGGTCATATCAGCACCATTAGTTCCCCGACCTCATCCTCTTACTATCATTACTAAACGCCATCGTCTCCCTCTTCTTCCCCTTCCTCGGCCTCGGACAGTCCTTCGCCATGTGGCCCTCGCCATCGCAGGCGTAGCACTTCGCCTTGGGACACCTAGCCTGCGTGTGCCCCTCCCCCCCGCAGCCACGGCACTTCATGGCCATGGCAGCCGGCGGCGGACCTGGGTTCGAGATTGACGTTAGCCCGCGCAGCGAAACGTTCCTTTGGGGCTTATCGGAGGCGTCCGATTCATCCCCGGAGTCGTTCTCGTCCGCGGCCTTCGCAGCCTGTGATCCCACCAGTCAGTCAGTACACATCCACACCCACGCCCCACACACATAACCAAAACCAACAGCAAGCAAGCAATTGAAACCCACCTCCCCCTTCGACTTGAACGCGCCAAACACCATCCTCCCACTCCCCTTCTCCTCCTCCTCCTCTTCCTCCTCCTCTTCCTCCTCCTGCTCCTCCCCACGGCGGCGGTCGTCGGCGAGAATCTCGCTGTACCCCCAGTCCACCACCTTGGCCGCCCCGCCGCCGGTGCGGTGCACATAGCTGAGCTCCCAGCGAGTCTCGGCGTCGCCGACGGGCGTGATGGCGGCGATCAGCTTTTCGCGCGCGGCGTCGCGCTTGGATTCTTCTTTTGCGAGGGCGGCGCGGACGGCGGTGGGCGCGGCGGTGCGTTGCATGAACTGTGGGGGGGGGGGGGAGAATGTAAGTACATGTTACTTGGTAGGTTGGTTCGAGACTTGTAGTGACTGGCTGGCAGTATGTATAATGGGAGGTGAGTGGTGGAAGGGGATTCTTACCTTCATGGTTAATAGCTTCGAGGACATTCCTTTCGGTTTTGCGATTGCGCGCTGGGCGGGCGCCGCGGGGGCTTTTGGTGTTGACATTTTGGACAGCAGTCGGTCGGTGGGTTAGATGCTCTGCGAATATATATCTACTCTGTATATATCTGTCGACTGTCGGCTTCAAATGGTGGTGGTCGTTGAATTCGCCTGCCGTTCAAAGTAGTCGTGAAGAAGACGAAATATCGCAGCACCACACAAATCCCACCCCTGCACAACAACTCTTCGCTCCCAGAATCCCCGCCAAGCCGCCAGACGACCCTTTCTGCACGCCACACTCCACACGCCACCCACCAGCCACACCACCCCCATCTAAATACCTCCCGCCTCGCACCTCCCCCCCCCCCATCACCGCACTCGCCCCCTCCACCGACCCGCCCCGCCACCACAATGTTCCGCACCACCACCACCCCCCTCACCCGCACCCTCTTGCGGCCGCTCGCCCGCAGCACCCGCACCTACTCCTCCACGCCCCCCACGGCACCGACAACCAACGCAACGACCATCCACGACACGGGCAGCACCGACCCGGCGCCACTACAGGAGAGCGCCCTCGAGGGCCAGAAGGCCCGTGTGCAGCAGGCGCCGAACCGGGCGACGACGTGGAGTAGGGACCAGCAGCCGAGGGAGCTGGCGATGGTGGGGCCGAGGTTTGAGCAGACGATTCTGGAGAGACAGGTTTGTGCTTCTTGCTACGATTGGGGTTGGGGTTTGAGCGTGGGGGAATTGGGGGATTGGGGCATTGGGATATTGGGCATTGAGAGGGGGGAGGGGGGAGTGTTGGTAAATTGGGGGAGAGAGAGAGAGAGGCTAATATATTGATTGGATGCTTGACAGCCGGCGCCCTGGGCGGCCATCGAACTGATCCACCAGCAGCCCGTCCGCTGGTCCGAGAAGCGTGTCGTCGCCTGTGACGGTGGTGCGTCCCCTTCCTTTCCCCCTACATCTGCTGGTGGGCGGTATATCTAACATTCTGAATCCATAGGTGGCGGACCGTTGGGCCACCCAAGGGTCTTTATCAATGTCGACAAGCCCGAGATTGTTCCCTGCGGCTACTGCGGCCTTCCTTTCGTGAGTAGCTCTTTACCTCTAGCTGTGATGTGATGTGATGTGATGTGATGTAGCGTGATGGCAGTTGTTAATGTGATGTATGACTGTAGGCACATGTCCACCACAAAGAGCATCTTTCAAAGTTGGAGAAGACGGACTATCCGTTGCAGTAGATGCAATGTCGGCGAGAGTAGACATATCAGTATATAAATTAGTTTGGTAGAATAAAAACCATGGCGGTTTTCTTTTATTGTAGACGGGGCGCGAATTCTTTTTGCTTTGCTTGGGTAGGGGTCGGGGGGGATCAATGATATCAGCTTTCTTTTTTCTTTTGGGCGCACACCTGTGAAAACTGAGGTTTTTGCACGTGATTTAATGGGGTCGAGTGATATTATATGACCGTGGAGCTAATCGGGACCCTTGATAAGGAACAAAGAAATGATTGAGCCTTTTTATTTCCTTCTATTTCTATTGAGACCATTCCATACCGCCACCAGACACATCTCTTAGAAGACACAACTCCCCGGTCCCTGCTTGTTCCTAGGCTTTTGCCTGCAGATGTCAACACAGAACAGCCAGAGCAGTACCGGATTGTCCAAGCTCCTCACTTGGCCTCCCTCAATTTCTCCCTCACCAAAGCCTCAGTCTCATGCAAGCTCTCATTATCCAAGAGCCAAAACTCAACCTCTGTCCCGTCCTCCTCCACAATCTCCTCCACGAACCTATCAATCCTCTCCATCGCCTTCCGATCCGCCGGGTCCTCAAACTCCTCAAACGTCCTCTGAACGGGCATAGCCTCGTTCTTAGTCCACTCCTCCAGCCACCTTGTCATGGCCTTCACGATCTCCTTGCTGCTCGTCGCCACAACAATCCTCATCACCGCTACCCGGTCCGGGCCAAACACGTTCGCGATGCCCCGGCCCAGCTTGAGGCACTTCTGCACGGCAAAGATCTCGGCAGAGAGCTTGGGGGTGGTAGCGGGGAGGATATGCGTGAAGTTGTATCTGGAGTCTGGGCCGAAATTGACTGCCAGTGCTGAATTGATGACGGCACAGCTGACGACGATGGTTTGGGCGTCGATGTGGGCTATGTCAGCGGGGCCATTGAGTGTTTTGAAGAGCGTGTTGGTGGTGTGGGACATAGGGTTGTAGATGGTGAGAGCTTGAAGAGTTGGCCTGCATCTCATGAGGAGGGTGGAAGGGTAGAAGACGCGCGGGTACTCGACGTAGCTGCGGGTGAGGTTGTGAGTAGGGAAGGGACTGCTGGCGGAGCGGATTAGGGGTCTGCCAGTTAAGGGGACGGCGAGCCCGCCTCCGGAGTTGACTTTGACGCCGTGGGACATGATGTTGTTGTCTGTCGTATCCACTTGGTGATAGTTGTTGCGGTAGATGTGGAGATACCAAGGGTGTGGTTGCGGAAAGGTACAGGTGTTGAAAATCAATCACAGCCCATCACTCACTAGTACATGTCGTATGTCCTAGTCCCCGCTGGTGATACAGTCGTTCGACTACATGCAGGACGCATGTTTCATGAGAGTATCGCTCGCTTATCGGCCTTCTATGTATTCTCTTTTTTTCTTTGTTGGCCGATCTCGGGAACATGTCACCAGGTTAGAAACCTGATCGATCGTAAGGTCCAGAGTGTGATTTGCTTAGTCTGTGAAAAAGCTCTCGCTTCCACTTTGCCTTTCAACGTATCACGACACATCTAGCTATAGATCCGAGATCAAGGAACTTGAAGGAAGTTTTTCCGGCCTAAATAGGAAGCAGGGGCAGTTTCCCTCGAATAAAGGGTTCAGGTGTGTATAATGAGACAGACTATGCCATATTTGAATCAGCTGGAAGGTTGTAAGACATTCGGAGATATTGGAGATGGCAGCATTCAGTAAGTGCCACGACCAGAATTTAAGCTCTCCTTTCTAGCCCTTCGAATCATAGTAAGCACTGAGAACGTTCGGATAATGTTGCAGCATCAACATACTAACCGATGAATTTTAACCTAACTCTTCCGCGGTCATCCCTACTAGGCCCTCCGCCTAGCTCATCGTGCTAGGTTACTATAGACCCGATCAATCTCTACGTGTAGCAAGCTTTCATGAACTCAATGTAATGAGACTTAAAGAAGGGTTAATTCTCGCTTTAATGACACCTTATTGACCTTGGTAAGTGGTTCTCTTATAGTTGTAGATCTTATTGTCCCCAACTGATAGTGCCCTTCGGCGATTCTGTGATTTTTCCCGATTCCAATTAAATATCCTCTGAGTATTCCTCTTTCGGTTTCAAGAAAACTGCTCAAGCACTCTCGGTGGTAATCTGATCCTTATTCGCATGCCAATGGGTGGCCGTGTGGGATTCATGGGGGCGAGTAAACCTCTGAGAATGTGGACACTCAGTTGAAGGATACTTTCCACACAACTCTTATATACCTCCACATGCCGTTGTGGCGTTCAAAAAAATGCTACTTTCATGTGAGGCTGTGAATCCTATAAGCCCGGCCCATAATCTCTGGGGTCCGGGGCGGGCCGACCCTCATCTTGCAGCTGTTGGATCAGCAGCAAGCCCGCGGATGTTGGCAGACTAATTGAACCAACGTTACACTCGAAACACCTCGATCAGAGGTACTTATACTCATACACGATCTTTGATATCATGTAGAAAATGACCAATTATCGAGGAGTTTTATATAGCTATCTGCGCTAGGAGCCCACTAGCTAGCTAGAGGTTCAGGTCCATTAATTGAATATATATATCGTTGAATATCTTTTTGATCTTTGATAGGGACAACTTTTAGATTGTTGCTGAAGCGAGAGATTAATTCTAACCTCATAGTATTAACATACATGTAGTAGCTAAAAAACTAACGCAAAACTGAGAAGCTTTGTGATGAGGGCGCCCAATATAATTAAATTAACACCTCTCTCAGCTATACAAAAGCCACAATACACTTATAAATATCCTACTTGGTAGCATGATCTCAATATAAGGCTAGCTAGTGCATATCAGAACAAGGGGAATTCTGTTAACACACCCGAAAAAGTTTACTAAGGTAGTTCTTTTTCTTTGTCGGTGTCTCAAACATTTAACCCCTTGCATTCCACTGACGGTACATATACACAGTGCTTCAATCAGTTCACCTCTCCTTAAGAGCTTCGTCTCCGACAACCGTCTCTGGCGTTTCTCTTACTTCACCCATATTCTCATGGCCGTGTATATCACCAGGCCTTTTCTCAGAGCGCCTTTCCCAGAACCTCAAATGTACCCTAACTCCATTCCACCTCCAAACCACGGCCAAATTCTCGAGTACGATCGACTATATAGAGAGTACATGGACCGGAGATGCACCAATCCACAGTACTACTACGTTTATCCTGGCGATAGGATATTTCGTCCCTCCATGCTCGGTTTTGGAGACCACGTCAAAGTCTCTCCAGTAGATATAGTAAACTACAATAACCGGTTCACATTAGCCCACCCAACCTGGATCGATGACCGCTGGAATAGATTTGAGGATCCAGCAACGGTCCTCATCCATGCATCTGGCTCCTTCTCGATGTCCTCGTCCTCAGCTTCCTCCGCAATTTGTTCTTCTTCCCAAGAAACACACGCGTACAGCACCATCCACACCCGAACGAACTCATCCTGGGGAATTTACCATGGGCCAGGCTCAACCCATAACCGGTCTGGTACAATCCCAACTTTCCTGCCCCAGTCAAAGCCGCACGCAGACCTCTATGCAGCTGGGATGGCGCTGGAGCACTTTAGGAACTTTATATTGCCGTGCATGCCACCGCCGGAGATGATGTGGAGGAATGCTATAATCGTAACAGATTCCGCATATCTTCTCAGTTGCTTGACACAGAACATCGAAGCCTGGAGATTGAATGGCTATAAAAATGCCAAGAAGAAGGTGGTTTCAAATGCCCAAACTATACGGTGGCTTGAGGATTTGGTTGAGAATTTAGAAAAGAATTGTGTTAGCGTGGTTTTTTGGAAAGTTGAGAAGAAAGAAAATCCTGATGCTGTAAGCATGGGGAAAAGGGCCTTGGAAAGGCAAGAGTTCTGGAATGTCGAAAACCAGGTACCTCTAAATGCTCTGATACCGGTATGAAGCGCCCTCTAGTAACACACGTCAGCTTGTGCCAGGTCTGAGTATACATACTTCGTATTCTTTGTCATCACAAGTTCTTTAGTCTCATATGACCTATCTAAAAAGCTAATACTCGATAAAGCCCCCCGCAAAGAATAAGAACAGGCCTCCCCGAACTAAGGCTAGTCACCGGCTTCCGCTGCAACCTCTCCGAAATATATAACCTCACATGTATGGTTCTGTTTGACTTTGGTTGATTGATGGTAAAGAGAAAGAGACGGGTTTGAACAAATATATATGGCGCCTTTTCTTAGGACTTGTTTGTGTATTTAATGATTTGTTCTGATAGAAAATTTTATATTTTATCGTATGTACTTATGATAGCTCCCAATAGCTTACGTTCTATAAATTTGTTAATCTACATAATTTTATTGTTAGCTTTATGGTTCTCTATTTACTCACGTCGTGGGACATGGAAGTCCATTTGAGCACATTACTAGGTCGTGTGAGATCATGTAGGTACATGTATCTAGATGTGGGTAGATGTGAACTTCCAAGGGTCTCCAGTCACAATATGATATAGAAAATGACTGTTCCGAGGACAGTAAGTAGTCATACTGAGTCGATAAGCATATGCATATACATGTATCTTGCCGTTCCATCTATATATGTAGGTCTTTGTCACAAACAGAAACCTTACATTTATACGCCGCAAGCGCCGTTAAGTGTAGCAGTGTAGCACGCGCATACCCGCATTTTTCTCCTAGGCTCCAGCTGCACAAGTGTCCTAATATCGTGCTTGGAATCGATTCAAAAGAATATGACTAGGAGATTATTGTTTATCAATGGCTGAATTTGTGCCGCTGATGTACACTCGATTCGGCTTCCTCAATATCTGTATGATTACAATCCTTCCATTCATGGCCAGCTTACAGCTAGCTATAGAACATTGAATGATAACCGGACCCCTTTTCCGTTGCTTTGTTGTATTCCGGCACGGCTTTGATTGTCGATTACTTGATGGATACCCGCATAAGCTTAACTGCACGATCCAGGCCACCCGTTCTTCTACGTAATTGAGCGCCTATAGACATGATTAGGTGTCAAAATCCATGAACTCATGGGCTATTAAACATCATAATTTCGAATCCTAATAGAGATAGTAATCAAGGGCAATAGGATATTTCCCTACCCTACATGGTGTTATCAATTCCCGCCAAAACTACTGCCTCTATCTTCCACAGTCTACCAGTTGACATTGGAATTTCTAATGAGAAGTCCTTAGAGAAAATACCACAGGCGCAGAATTCATAATAGTAGTCTGTAGGCCTGAGCTTCGGCCCTTTATTTATTGTTTTAATTTGTGGTTCCACGTCGATTTAGAGTATACCCAAGTACCCGGTCCCCAAGACCTAGGTTTGGCAGCACCAATTGTGAGACCATATGTTATCCGTGATACGAGGTGATAAAAATTAGAAGTTATGACTCTTCTATAGTGAATCGTTTTATACAATCATGTCTCGGGTGTTCATCACTCCTCTTAATAATTGGCCGTTCGTTCATAGTTCCGAAATCAGAGTTTTGAAGACTAGACGTAAGGTACGTGTACTCGTAGCTTCATGACGTTTCCGAACACGACTAATATTACATACCATACAAAAAAGCGCCAAATCCACCTTTTTGTATGTCATGCAATATTGGTCGTGTTCGGAAACGCTATGAAGCTACGAGTACCGCCATAACTCGAAAAATTGGCTAGATCAAAATTACTTGTACGGGAAACTTCTGGTGCAGATCGATGCCATTCAACCAATCACTCAAGTGGTAATCCCTGGACGGAGATAGCCAATTTTTCGAGTTTTGGCGGTAGTTACTTCTCATCCAACACCAGAATGTACATATCCCTTTGATTGGTCAGTGTAGAATTCCTTATGCTGTGTAATCGAACGGCCCTAACCTGTAAATCCGATCGATGGAGGGGAACGCCAGCCAATCGTCGCTGCGCACCGCCACTGGAAATATAGGCACGTGGACATCCGAACCTCTGCTTAGAGTAGGTCTTTCCATTTGTTTTTCTTTTCGCTTGTTCCGTTCTATGCAGGGAAAACCCTTCATCTAAGTCAAGGGTGCCACCATAATGATCAACCTCAACGCTCGGGTAGAGAGGGTGTCAAAATATCCGCGTACCTTGAATCATGGGGTCTGCGTACCGATAATGTTTTGTGGTACATCCGAAATTCTTGCAATAATTGCCTCAATTATTAGCTGTGAATCACTGAATTGACTGCGGCTGAGATATGAGTCTACGACGCCGTAGAACCGCATCAAAAGAGGCATCAAAGTCGGGTCGCTTGAAACCACTCCGCTGCTAGGCGTCCAAAATATTGGAAGATCAGCGTCCGATTTGAAGGCGGTATCCACATACGGAGCTGGTGCCTTGCCTTGAAAGTGCTGTTACTGCTGTAGGTACCTTGCGGCACCGCCAAGACTGGTACGCTGATACCGGTCGTGAAACGAAGGCGAACCAACTACAAACAAATGATACCACAGTACGTCTACCAGTTCGCCACCTCAACAAAAAAAAATTTGAAGAAGCAAACTCCGGAAATACTTTCTTAGTCGAGTACCAACCACTATCTTTCACGATAATGAAGGACGCAAACCCAGCTTTGATACAGTAAGTTGATGTTTCTTGAGGTGAGTCCTAGCTATAGGGCTTAATAGATAAACTGCACTATGTTTGGGTGATGAGCATGAGGCTTAAGGAATTATTTGAAGAAGCAAACTCCGGAAATACTTTCTTAGTCGAGTACCAACCACTATCTTTCACGATAATGAAGGACGCAAACCCAGCTTTGATACAGTAAGTTGATGTTTCTTGAGGTGAGTCCTAGCTATAGGGCTTAATAGATAAACTGCACTATGTTTGGGTGATGAGCATGAGGCTTAAGGAATTATTTAATTAAGGGCAGAAGTCGTAGATCCAAAGCTTGGCGCTGAGAAGGCCTCAAGTGCAACTACAAACGGGGAAACTCACATGCGTATGAAATAGCTTAAATCTACAGTACTCTAGGTACAGAAGGTATATGAGATTGTACAGCTACCTACTTCTTATATATATTGTAGGCTATATTACTGTTCGCATCTTTTTGGTGATGGGGTTTATATTTATTTCGCCGCCGGTCGTCACTGCACTTGGGGCTAGTCTCGCTTATCTTGTGGGGAAGTGCCTTTACCTTTACCGTTATAAGTGTCACTGAAATTGGAATTCGACAAAGTATCCTTTTCAACAAGTGGTGTATGTACATACATGTACATACATTATCCGAATGCGCTTGAAAGTGTGTCATTCTCATTCAGTACCCCGGCCCCCTGCAGCTATTCTTTCAGCCTCAGCAGCAGCTTTCTCACCCAAACATTCGCGCTACTTTGGCTTCAAGCCTTCAGTCTTATATCCTTTGACTTCCTCCTGTCCCCCATCTTCAATCTCTCCCTCTCATCGTTACACCGTTATCTCCTCTAGCTTCTACATACCTTCCGTCTCGATCTCGTCCATCTCCAGATTCTCCTCCGCCACCAGACTTGCCAATTCTCATTCCCACACTACAATGAAGCCTGATATGAAGGAGATATCCATTCAGACTGGAGTGGCTACTGTCATCGCCAATAAGCTGGAGCAACCTGATCTCGATAATCGGTCGTACCGTGTAATTCAGCTACCTAATAAGCTCGAGGCGTTGATTGTGCATGACCCGGACACAGATAAAGCCAGTGCTGCGTTAGACGTGCATGTTGGGAACTTTTCCGACAGTGAAGACTTACCAGTCAGTTGTCTCGTGTCCCACTGCTTTTACATCCCCGCGCCTGCCCCTCATTGTGCCAAGTCGGATATCCCTTTTTACCACTTTTGTGCGGCACCCCGGCCATTCCCTCCCATAAAAATACAGCACTGTATGCCTGTATAAATTCAGTAGCACTACATCTAGGCTGAATCTACTGTGACCTATTACCTTGTGAATATTTACTAATAGATTATCTGGGAGTTGCAGGGCCAAGCACACGCTGTAGAACATCTTCTGTTTATGGGAACTGAAAAGGTAAATCCTAAGAGTCCTTATTTATACCTCCAGTACACCTACTGATATATTTACCTTAACAAAAGTATCCAAAAGAGAATGAGTATTCTCAGTATCTAGCAGAAAACTCCGGACATTCCAATGCATACACTGCCTCCACATCTACAAATTACTACTTCGAAGTAGGGCACGAGCATTTCTATGGTGCACTTGATCGTTTTGCACAGTTCTTTATCGCTCCGCTCTTTCTCGCAGAGACACTCGACCGTGAGCTTAGAGCTGTGGATTCTGAAAACAAGAAAAATCTCCAAAATGATACTTGGAGGCTTCATCAATTAGGAAAATCCCTATCTAACCCTAACCATCCATACTGTCATTTCTCCACAGGAAATCTTGAGACATTGAAAGAGCAGCCAACTAAGAAGGGCATTAACGTCAGAGATGAGTTTCTGAAATTCCATGATAAGTACTACTCATCAAATGTGATGAAACTCGTGGTTTTGGGTAGAGAAGACTTAGATACACTCGAGAAATGGGTTGTGGAGTTGTTTGAGGGTGTCAAAAACAAGAACCTACCAGATCCTAAGTTTGAAGGGCAACCTTTCACTGAGGAGCAACTGCTGGTTTGTTTACCGCCTGCATGTAATCCTATTGATCAAGATCTTCTAACCAATTGCGTAGACGCAATATTTTGCTAAACCTGTCATGGATACCCGATCCTTAGATATCACATTCCCATACCTTGATGAAGAAAAGTTGTTCCGGACACAACCCTCGAGATATGCAGCTCATCTAATTGGGCATGAGGGCCCTGGTTCCATACTTGCATATCTGAAAAAGAAAGGATGGGCCAATGGGCTTTCAGCTGGACCAACATCAGTTTGTAATGATGCTGCTTTCTTCTATATCTCTATCAGGTTGACAGAAGAAGGATTAGGTAAAAATGGATCTCCTACTATATGTCTTGAAAGAAAGTTGCTAACCATTCCCTCAAGCTCAATATGAGGAGGTTGCAAAGCTTGTGTTCCAGTACATTCACCTTATTCGTAGCACTCCTCCACAGGAGTGGATCATGAAAGAACTTCAAGCTGTTGCTGCTATTGACTTCAAATTTCAACAAAAGTCCCCAGCTTCCAAGTTCACATCACGCCTCTCTGATGTCATGCAGAAGCCCCTTCCTAGAGAGTGGCTCCTATCGGGAACGAGTTTGATTCGCGAGTTCGACCCGGCAATCATCAAGAAATCTTTAGAATTTCTACGACCTGACAGCTTTAGGCTTTCCATTGTCTGTAGGGATTGTCCCAAAGGAAACTGGGAAGCAAAAGAGAAATGGTACGGGACTGAATACAGGGTTGAGAAAATTCCCCAAAAGTTTCTATCTGAGATTCAAGGAATCTTTAAGAAAAGAGTGGAGGATTTAGAAAAGGAGCTACATCTCCCTCATAAGAACGAGTTTATCCCCACAAACTTCGATGTTCAAAAGAAGGAGACAAAGGAACCTTCAAAGGTACCAGTATTGATAAAGCATACAGACTTGTCTAGAGTTTGGTATAAGAAAGACGACACCTTCTGGGTTCCCAAAGCAAACATATTCTGTACACTTCGAAAGTAAGTTGATACACCATATCCCTTTCTACTACTTCTAACCTAGATATAGCCCCATAGCATATGCGAGTCCTGGAAGTGCTGTGAAGGCGAAACTTTATTGCGAATTAGTCAAGGATGCTCTCAATGAATACGCTTACGATGCGGAAATCGCTGGCCTTGAATATTCTCTGGCTGCCCATTCGCTGGGATTAGACATCGAGATTTCAGGCTACAACGATAAAATGTCTGTGCTATTAGAGAAACTTCTTACAAAGATGCGTAGTTTAGAAATTTCGCCCAGTCGGTTTAATGTTATCAAAGAACGAACTCTGAGAGGCTACCGAAACTGGGACTTCGCCCAACCGTATTATCAGGTTGGAGAATATGCCAGGTACCTGCACGCTCAGCAGATGTGGCTGAACGATGAACATCTCGAGGAGCTAGAAACCGTTACTATGGAAGAAGTGCAAAGCTTCTATCCATTGATTCTTAAGCAGTTGCATATTGAATCCTTGGTCCATGGAAATCTCTACAAAGAGGTTAGTACTTCAGAGAGTCAATAAAATTCAAATTTGACGGCTAATATTTTTTGGGGTCTTTAGGATGCACTTAGACTTACTGCAATGGTCGAAACAATCCTTAAACCTCGGCCACTCCCTCTTGCGCAGTTTGGCATCCGGAGATCTCTTCTTATGCCGCATGGTGGGAAGTTTATCTATCCCCGAAAGCTCAAAGATGAGAAAAACGTGAATTCATGTATTGAGTATAGTCTCTACATTGGAGAGCATACTAATCGAAAGCTTCGGGCCTTAACAGTCCTATTTTCACAGTTGACTGAAGAGTAAATAATTTCTTTTTTAATTTCAAGTCCCAGCATTTACTAACCTTGATTTAGGCCCGCTTTTGATTTGCTGAGAACTAAGGAGCAACTTGGATACGTTGTGTTTTCTGGTGCTCGTATCAATACTGCAACAATGGTTTATCGAGTTCTTATCCAATCCGAGCGATCTGCTCCGTACCTGGAGTCAAGGATCGAGAATTTCTTAAAATCATACAAGACTACCCTCGATAAAATGACAGAGAAAGAACTCAAGGGTCATATCAATAGTGTCATCGTCAAACGAACCGAGAAGATGAAAAACCTGAATCAGGAAAGTTCAAGGCTATGGAACTACATAGGCAGTGAATACTTTGATTTCTTGCAGGGTCAGTAACCCCCCCTCTAATTCTGTGAGGTTATGCTGACTGGAGATCCTTCAAAGTCGACATCGAGGTTGACGTGATCAGAAACCTTACCAAAGCTGACGTTGTTGAGTTCTACAACACCTTCATCGATTTTTCATCTCCAAAACGCTCCAAAATCTCTGTCCACATGCATGCAGCAGCCACTCCTCCACCCCCTGCTCCTGTTCCCACGTCAGATCAAAAGGCCACATTAGCTCTATCCCTTTCTCAGTTTATTTCAAGCCAAGGGGGCGTCAGCGTTGATGCTGTGAATCTCGCAAAGGCCCTTGAAAGTACCGATTTGACGAAGGCCGAATCCATTATCGGATCAGTGACAACTTTTCTATCGAAGGAATTGAAGTTGTCGGATGAGAAGGTTAAGGTGATTATTGACCAAGGTTCGGCTTTGCTGGAACCAATGCTATCAAAGCTTTCAGGCTCGCTTCCGAACGAAAAGTTCGATGGTGATCAGGGTCAAATCATTGAAGATGTATATGGCTTCAAGGCTGGGTTGGAAATGACAAAGGGTGCAAGGCCTGTCAGACCACTAGTGGAATTCGAGGAATCATCGGTTAAGCTTTAGATTATAACGATGGATTCCTGACGTATCGAAGCGGCTTCGCACTTCCTCTGTACCTTAGAACGTAGTAACGGCTCTATAGATTGTCTCCCCGTTGTAATAAAATTGCGTAAAAATAGCTCGTAGAGTTCCTAGGCAACTGAAATATTCTTACCCTCCTCATTGATACACCTAGTGCGTTCACGTGTACCCAAAGAATACATATATAAATCACGCAATTACATGTAGTCACCTACCGAGTAGTGTGTTCGACATGATCAGAGGTCAATCCGACGAGTGATGGATCATGATTTATCTATTCTTAACACTTTGCTAGTGACTACGAGTAGATAATCTACTTACCTATGACAAAACAGGGTACTCCATGTTATAGGTATAACAGGAAGAAATCCAGACTCTTCGCGTACATGTATGCAATTAACTATACTGAGATATATCATCCCTAACCCTACATTTGAATTTGATAAATTGAGTGAGCAGAGCAACCATGCATGCATCGCCGCTGGAACTTTTAAATCTAATCTTCTGGTCTATAGTGGTGCGTTATTCCTGGTCTATCTCGTCTTGTGATATTTGAGTATTTGTATCTCTCACAGGGCATCTTGTCTTTGACGTTATCACCGGGATTGCTAGCTCCTCATCCTAATATATATCAGTCATCAGAGAGGGAAGGGAAAACTCCGACCAATATTTAGCCTACTCCTCCTAGGTTCGAAAGAAAACAACATAGGGGACAGACAGTCTCTGTGTAGTTATCTCCGAGCTTACTCAGAAGCAGACCTCTCATGAACTCCCTGTTTACCCTCCGGGTTGTCTTAAAAAGCCTCAAAGATCAACCGGCGCACTTTAGAGGACGAGGTCGGGGTGCAGATCTACAACTAGTCCGACGCCTACCAAAATATTATACAACCGCCCGCAGTTACCCTACCCGACCCTCCCAGCTGCCAACCACCAACCTTCTAGCCATGAACGAGGATCTCGCCGAGGAGATTGAGGTGCTAAACTCGATATACGGGGGCGAGTGTATTGCCTCGACCGGGTCCGGATCAATCTATGTTCTGCGGCCGCCCGAAAGCACAATCTCGCCGCCGCTCTCACTGACGCTGTCATTCCCGGACAACTACCCGCATGCCCCGCCGGTGGTTGTTGATGGGGCGGGCGGTGGCAAGAGTGGGGTGGAGGGGAAAAATGAGTTGGCGAGAGATGTGTTGAGCGCGGTGTGGCGTGAGGGCGAGGTGTGCCTGTTTGACCTGGTGGAGGGGATGCGCGAGTTGTTGGAAGCTGCACCACCACCAGCTGCGGCGGTGGAGGAGGGGGAGGTTGATGATGGCGAGGAGGGATATAGGGAGTGGTCGCCGCCGCCAACAATGAATGAGGCTGGACAACACACTTCGGAGCATGAATGGATTGTGGCGGATCCAATTGTAGAGAAGAAGTCCGTGTTTGTTGGAAGAGCCATTGAGGTGCATTCAGTTGAAGATGCAAAGCGTTATATTTCGGATCTGATTGCAGGAGACAAGAAGATTGCAAAGGCAACGCATAATATGACTGGTATATATTTCATGCCATTTATCATAGACTTATAATATATAACTGACGCTAAATGATATGAGAATCTAGCATATAGGATACAGCGTGAGAATGGTGTCACTTTCCAAGATAACGACGATGATGGAGAAACCGCTGCTGGTGGCAGGATGGGACATCTATTGCAGGTTATGGATGTTGCCAACGTGCTAGTAGTTGTCTCCAGATGGTACGGAGGAGTCAAGCTGGGACCAGACAGGTAGGTCGCTGTGTTATCGTCTCAACCAACATCTCTACTATAGTCAAGCTAACGTATACTTTTTTTTATAGATTCCGGTTAATAAATACAGCAGCAAGAGAGGCGCTAGTCAAAGGTGGCTTCGTAAAGACCGCTGAGACTGGTACTGGAAACTCGGGAAAGGCAAAGGTTAAGGATAAGAAAGCTAAAAAGTAATTTATGTATTCTGTAAATATAGTGTTTAGAAAATCTTGAGCATTGATTCCCGTTATTTGGCATGTTAAACAAGCATCTGAGCGTTTCATTCCCACATAGCCTAGTGAAATATGATTCGGCTTTTTAAGGTCTAAGACCTGCACGGATTCAAGTCTCGACCTTCCCCTTTTATACGCAGAGGACAGTCATAAAATGACACATGGACAAAATACCTAGATACAAGGCCTAGAAAGTAAATACCTAACAAAAACCAGGAGGTCTCCAGGACGGGTATGAGAAGACTCTAGTGTAGTGTTAAGTGGTTAGAATCAATGAGTTAATAACAACAAGTATTAAGTACATGTAGCTTAGATTATGATCTTTATGGCCATTATAACACAGCACAGTATAGTATTAGCAGCTCAAGCGTCTCAATGAGCAGTTATTAACTGCAGACGCAAAACTCGAGCTGTCTCAAAAGAGCTACCTGTAACATATGCGCCGGTTGCCAAGTCTCGAGCTCTGGGTGTGTTGTCCGTTCTCCCTTACCCCCTTGCTTTGGTGACAAATTTGACACATCTTCTTGTGGACTGTCGGCCAAAATTCTCTAGGCGCCAAGTGTTCTGGGGTATATATACCCCTCCTCCCTCGCCCTCCTCTTAGAACTTCATACTTACCTAGCGACAGACCCGGCTGCTCATGAAGAGTCGGGGCTCGAGGAACCTACCTTCATTGCACAGCGAATGGTTGGGGACCTTGCCAAAGGCCTTCGGGCCTTCTGGGTTGTTTAATTTTTGATATATTCTCGCTCTTTGAGTATGAAGTTTTTTTTTTCCTTGGATGCTTGGGCGTTGCCGAGGCTTTGAGGAAAGATTTAAACCTTTCAATTCGTTGAGCAGATATATCATGGCTCCTGTCCCAACGTAAATAGAGCTGTGCTCGAGCGCTCCTTGTTGTAGAATATGTTGAAGTTGCTTCGCCATGTCAATTCTTGTGACTTCAGTGTAGGAATGGCTACAAAAGCACTACAGTCCTCAAGCCCAACCTCTGCAGTGTTATGATGGCTTCTGGTAACCATTCTCTTCGTATCGTGGCATGATCGCTGTCGGGTTCGATCATGTGATCTGAAGCTTTCTGTACAGTGGATATTGGGTCTTCCGCTGGCCTTTGTACCGTTGGTTGTTTTCCGTCCGAAGGTGTTGAGTCATCCCAGGATATCCTATTAGTTTCCAAGGCCAAACGAAGCTGCCCGCGCGGTCAGCGTTCGTGTTATCTCGATACATAGAATTTTCTGGCATGATTGTAATTTGTAGTATGCTGCCAAACGATAGCTCTCTCGTGCCGAGTCTTTTACCTCTTGGCGGCAAGAACAGTACCTTATGCGTCAACCAGGGCAAATGGTGCGTGAGCACGGAATCGGGCTGCTTGGCACGCATGACTTCATCGCATTTCAACTGTGTTACCAGTGACCACCATCTGAATTATTACCACGTGCATGTAAAAATATACATACATACATCGAACCCTTCAACCTGCCTTGGGGCCGTTTGGAAAATTTGGACTTTACAAATTGGTCTATCCCCCAAAAATCGGAGCTAAGCCTAAAATCGCATACTAAATACCCCGTCCGCACAATCAGATGTTACTCTGAATACCCCATCTCTGACATCATCCTCAATTGTGTGCATCTCTCCCCATCCAGCGAACACCCGGGGAATCATATTTCCGAAGTTATATCTTGTCCTTTTTTCTTTCATCTCAGCAGATATGCCTTTGAATAATCACTCTCAATCTCGCCCATCTCCTACATGTGCAGAAGAGTTGGACCCGCACCAGAACCCTCCAGGTCCCAATGCTGAACCGGTTGGCATTGAAGAATGGGAAGAATGGCAGCAGGAGCAGGACGAATCGGTCAAGGACTACTACGCGCTGCTGGGGGTTTCTCACGATGTATTTATCCCCTCCTTCACCGTTCAGATTTACAGCAGTCATCTGTCTAGCCCGGTCGAGCGTCGTAACAACGTTCGATCAGGCCGGATACTATGGAAACTGCTGTAAATGTATATGGAAGCTTTAAGTTTCTCATGGACATGCCACTGATTTCAATCGATAGGCAACGCCCAACCAAATCCGCAGTGCCTATCGCGCACTTTCGCTTCGTTTTCACCCAGACAAGCAACCAGCTGAGCAACGGGAACGCACGACATTACATTTTAACAACATATTAATTGCCTACGAAACTCTCATGAATCCGCACAAACGAGCCATCTACGACGAACTAGGAGTCGATGGGTTGAAGCAGAAATTCTTTGAGGTCGGTGTCAAGACCATGGATCCGGATGAGTTCAAGATCTGGCTACAGGAGCAGATCCGAAAGCAGAAGGTAGAAAACGTTATGAGCCTTGTCAACAGCCGGGGAGAGGTCGTTATCGCTCTTGATGTGTCCGGTGCGGGATTGAAGAAGATCGTAAGGACTCTGGAGAGTGGTGAGAAGGAAGTTGGGTATAGGCTCATTACGCTAGTGAGGTTGACGAAATATGTTGTCAAGCATTCCTTCACACTGCCGTTGGAGGGCTTGGGAGAATTGCTTACAACCCCATTTAATTCTTCTATCACAGCCTCATCTGAAAAGAACGAACCACAAATGAAACATGTCCCAAGCCTAAGTCTCACGGCATCCTTGGGTGGTATTCCTGTTCAGACAGAGAATAAAGGTTGGACATATCTATCTTCTCCAGGTCTTTCCGTGCAGATTGGACACTCGTTCCCGTCGCTACCCCCCAAATCGCCATTATCAATCGCTTCAATTCTCGCTGGCTTGGACTTCGAAATAGCCTCAACAATATTTCCTCAACGTGTCGTTTCCACGTCAATCTCAAAAAGCTTCGGTGCATCCAGACTTGTCTTCAAGCCGACATTTAACTCGTCCCCACTTCTCAAACCCCCAAGTATCGAGGCCACATATGTTAGCTCCATTGGTAAACGCAGTTCCTTCTTCATGCAATATAACACGGGTTTAGCAGGGAAATGGCCCTTGGCATTGTCTCAAATCTTTTCCAATCCATCACCTAGTAGTCACTTCACGATCGGATGGGTAGCAATGCCTATTGGCGAGTCTCCCGTAGCAGAAGATGTCAACGATGAAAACTACGTCCCCACCCAAAGGCCAAATAAATCGAAATCAACGGAAACGTGGAGGATAACAGCGACTGCTTGTCCTTCTCTTGGATTTGGTGGGCAATTGGGACTTTCGTGGGGCCGAACCTATTTTGTCGGTACGCCCATCGGCCCTTCCAGCTCAAAAAATCCTAAAGAACTTAAGAAATCAAGAGAGGGGATTAAAATAAACGTGGATGCGACTGTTGTCACAGTCACCGCGCTGGTAGTCAAAATTAAGGCTACTAGGAAGATCTTTACAAATACCAGGATGGGGGCAGGAATTGGGATCTCTGCTGGTGGGGTCATATTCACATTAGACTGGTCAAGATTAGGGCAAAAAATCTCTATCCCTGTAGGGATTGCTTCTACATCAGGGTCGTCGGTTCTATACGGGACTCTTGCGCCGTTCTTGGGATATGCTCTACTCGAATGGGTTTACCTAAGGCCAAGAGAGCGTAAATTGTGGAAGAAGGAAGTTGAACAGAAGAAGAGACAGTTGATGGTCAAAGTCATTAAAAACAGGAGGAGGGCAGATGAGTTAGTGGGTCTGATGAGTGATTACGTTAAGCACAGTCAGCAAAAAATGTTGGAGCGTGGTGGATTGGTGATTCTTGAGGCTAGATATGGAATCAATGGGAAGGCTGGAGAATGGATTGATGTGACAATTCCATTGGCTGGATTGATTGAGGATGAACAGCTGGTTATTCCGAGAGGGTTGAACAAAGTAAGCCTATGAATCCATTCCCGGTAATCCGTGTTGATACTGACAATTTCATAGAGTCACCTTGCTGGCTTTTATGACCCGGCTCCAGGTGAAAAGAAGGATCTTTGGGTTAAATACCTCTTCAAGGGCAAAAGACACGAAATCACCGTTAGAAATAACCGTGGCCTTGCGATACCCATGAAGGCGCATCTCGTTGAATAATTCATACTTCATATATCTCTTTTCTTCCCCATGGCACTAATATATCCACCTTCCATGTTTGAGTTCCCCTATGACTAAGAGAACTTACCGTAGATAAAATTAGGTCTAAGTCTTTCTGCTTCTTCACTCCATCGCCCTTTAAATCGTCATTCAACCAAATGCGTTGTGATGTATATGTATATAGTTATCCAATTGCATCACGGTTAGCTTTAAGAGCATATTAAGTATCTACCTTTAAGAGTAACGGAAACCTCAATTAATTTGAATGCCCAAGGTAGTCGAAACGGCTCAAGTTCCTTATGTCAGTGTTTCCCACGTAGAATGAGAATGAGTGCTGGGACCATTGAATGCTACCCGGAATACAATGGCTTTCAAATGGCTTTCAAATGGCTTTCCGGGTTAGGTCTTCCGATAATTCTATATCCATATAAGTCGGCTCTTGAAATAATTAAACTTTTCTGCTCGAAACCGCACCCACACCTAGACTTGAAGCTCACCACCTCCCCATAGTTCACCCACCTATCAACAATATATTCATCCAATAATACCATCACCCCAAACCCCAAGCTTCGAATCAGCAGTCATGGGAATCGTTCACGCCTCTATCATCATTGAGGAGATCTACACTCCCTCTACTGGGAATGCTTGTCTTCACATCCACATGTCCGCCCCACCCCCCAACACTACCTCTGCCACCGTTACCGTCCAATCTCCCCTTATTTTTCACGTCAGGGCTCCTCCCCCTCCGCAAGCTTCCCCTCCACAAGCTTCCCCGGCCCTAGTTTCCCTCGCTTTAGCTTCTAAGCCAAAGAAGAAGTTTCTCGGGTTGCGTTACAAGGACACAGGACATGTTATTCCGTTCATCGACGCGAAGGGAAATTACATCTCGGCGGACACGAAGGAGTTGATCTGGGTCCCAAGCTTGGGAAGATGGGTTGGAGGACCCAACTATGTGCCCCGTTAGGGAGCGGTGGAATGTGAGTTTTCCATATTGCAGTGTGATGGTTTTTATATTGTGGCTAATGGAATGAAGTGTGAGAAATTGGAGGTCGATAATGGGAAATAGCTTGCAATTGGCTGGCCTCGATAGGGTATAATTGAATGAAGAGAGCTTGGAAGAATGGCTCGAGCCTCTTTAGATCTTTTGCCTAGTATAAATGACTAGACTTGTAATGCTGCCTCCTCTTCTGAATTCTTCACTAACATTGAAGTCTAGTTCGTAAGGCTTGGACGTTCGTTAGGTATTAGATTAGCCCTCTAGATGCACATTTGCATTTGTTCCAATAGAACTACATAATAGAATCTCGAAAACTTGAATACGCTTATGGGATTGAGCAACTAGTACTATTGTGGCGTTCATAAGGACTTATTAAATGTCCCTACTCATCTCCGTGATACTGTACTCTCAAAAAACCCTCAGATTCAACCCACAAATGCCCTCCCTAGTTGATTAGTGCCTATAGATATGTAACTTCTACTAATTATACTAATACTACATACCTGCCCAACAAAATTTCTCGTAAACCAGCTGAAGAGCCAGGCCACAATCTTAAAAAGAACAATTAGATTGATCTCACAGCAATCAAGACAAGCAAATCCTCGCGAGAGTAGGTTTCTTATGGCAGGTGAACTTTTGTTTCGTATTATAATCCTCCTTTTAATTCGTACAACGGTAGATCAAACTCTGCTGAGTACACGTACTTTAAGATCTGCTCTGTTTTAGTGGATCTGATATGTTCATGATTTCGGCTTCAGGCCCACGAAATCTCCGGGCGCAATATAATACCACAATCTCGATCTCGTAAAGTACCGTGGTAATGAAAAATATAGTACCACCAATGTGCTACTTCACAATCCCCACGAAGGACCACAGAGGATCTGGAAAAAGCCTACGACCAACTGTTTACATATATGCCCTCATTAATCCCAAAACAGTGTTTCAACATATACAGCATGATACTCCATCCCGCTTACTCTTCAGGACTGCGGATTTCCTCTTTTCCCATCCTTGGCGTTCGATTGGTTAACTATCGAGATTAGTATCAAGATACGGCCAATCATATCGTGAGGATCGTCCGGACCTCCGACTTGTTTGGTTATACGGAAACTGGAGCAACCGCGAATGGAATACGGTCGTCATGTTTCTGAAACCAGGCGCGAGGACTTTAAGATGGTGGAAATGGTTGTAGCGTAACCAAACAGAGTCGATGTATCTACTACGATATAGCCAACCCGTCCATATAAACCTATATACAGATATTGGGCGTGAGGAGATGGCCCTGCACCTTAAAACTGATCAAATACTCATCGGTTGGGGTATGTTAATTGTTTACGACTGTCCGAAGAGTGGTATGCGTGAGTTATCCCTTCTCTTTGTTTTCCTGCCAAGTAAATACAGTACTCACCGTTGCAAGTCAATTGATAAAATTAATAATCTTCATAGTTGTAATTCCAAAATTTTGTAGCTCTAAGGCTAGAGGCAGCTCCTATCCAGTAGCATTCAAATTTCATCTCCTTCTAGCCGCCGCGGAGAGTCGGCTTCGGAATTTTATATGGCTCAAATTGGATTAATTCTCACCGGCTTGGCAGACACTGCCGTGAAATACACTATGGATAAATCCAAATCAAGCCTGACTACTATTTTCAGAGCACCCTCTTTTTTTTTCCTTTATTGAATTTAAGGCGTTGCAGGATTTCAACTCCGCCAGGCGCAGGTTGCACAAGAGCATACCCGATCACTCGGCGTTGCGCCCCCACTTGCCCCGGATCCTCGGCATCGCCGGTAGATACATATCCCGCTAGTCAAGCTCCGAGTGAGATCCAGAGGCACAACAAAACAAACACCGACGAGGCTCAAAAATTAAAAATAAAGTCATAGTATAATCCACAGGTTCCACGTTAAAACAAAGTCACCCGCCACAGCTCGGAGAGTGTAGATTTAATGCACTTTGCTGTGAGGGAGGTTATCTAGGCGAGATGGCGATGTGAGGCTCAGAAAAGTATATGTGCCTCCTGCGTCATAGGTTACTCTAGAGTAGAGTAGGGAGGTAGACACCGACATGTAGGTAGTTTATTGGTGTACGAGACCGGAAATATCTGCATGTTCCTTGTGCTCTGTCCAGGTGCAGTTAATGCACGTGCGGATATGATGGCCGACAGTACTCCGCCAGGAGGCACAGAGAATAAAGTCGTGAGCGCCGTTACGCTGAGAAGGACAGTTTGGCCATGGGTCCAGGGGCACAGAAAATAAAGTCATGAGCGCCCTAACGCTTTTTGTCATACATGTAGTGTCTGCATGTATATCTGACCTTACTAAGGCAAGGCAAGAGACGTAAACGAAATGGAGGCGGAAACTGGAGACAAGAATGTAAGACACAAGCACTTCCGATAAAAGGAGAGGGAGGTAAGTGGGGGGTTAGGGAAACACGCCTCGAAACGTGCTGTTACTCAGCAGCTCAGGGAACCCGAAAAGTACACTTCTGGAGGTTGAGGTTGGAGCTGGTACTCTACTGTTCGTTGCTACCCGTTCGGGAGTTAAACCCCGTCCTAGCGCTATCCAGAGAATCACATCCCTTCAACTTTCTTCGTCTTGCTTCCCGTGGGACTGGGCGGTCGACTTCATTGGCCTGAGGTTGCACCGTATCCTGCAATAAACGTGAACTACAATCATAATACGCTGCCTATCAACCACAGTATACATCGTGGTCCCTCGGTTGAAAAATAAGGACCCTGTTACCTGTAGTTTATTAGAGTAGCTACATGCATATGTGGCTCACTACATGCTTGACTAGACAGGGACCTAAAAATTTAACGTAGACATGTGCAATATCTTACTACAACGACATGCAGTCAGTACTATGGTACCCCATTATATTGTAACTGCCCCGCCCCCCCCCCCCCCCCTCTTCCGTTTGAAGCACATAACTCTCTAAAGGAACCGCAGCTTGCTTTCCGGTTTATCCAGTAATACGCCACCTGTCCCATGAGTTCCCCCCAGATTACTGATTCGGTCATCCCTTGCCGTACCTAGCATGAACCAGATACAGTACATACTCTACGGTACCTTTCTAGCTTCGTTCCTTGTAGTTGATCGACGGTTTATCCCTGTCCTCGACAATGAGCGGCGAATGCTCGGACTTGATCGGGCATCCTCTTCCCGGGGGCTTGGGCAGGAAAGAGAGACATCTTAGAAATGAACCTCCGAATTCAACTGCTAGGAGATACTTCTATGAAGTCCGTTAATTACTCTGGGGAATCGAATTGAATGTCCAGATATCAAGCTCATACGAGTGAATGGAGCAGCCAATTTAGGGAAACCCTCCTCGCATTGGCTGCATATGAGAAGTGCACATCGGAAGTTACACACTTCTTGTACCTGAATTCGCCGAACGAAACGTTTCACCCCTGAGCCATGTTCTTCTCCACCACCTGCATAATGAGCTTCCAGAGTTTTGGTTCCTATTCAGCCACCCGGCGATTGGCCCAGATTCAAGGGACAGGGTTAGAGCTTCTTTTTTGTCAAGCAGACTCGGAGGGTAATACGTGCCTCCTCTAGTAGTTGCACACCGGTATCTCCCCGAGATGTGTCCCTCTCAACATCACCACCACTACCACCGTTACCACCGAACCCCCTGACAAGACGCTGTGCGGGGTAGTTGTAAATGGAGGCATTGCCAGTGGATACTGTCAGCTGAAACTAGCAAGGAGAGATGGGCAAAGATAGTATTCGCCATTTACAGATGGGTACAATCCATGGCACAGCAACTTTTGCCTCTTTCACACTCTGTGGAAGGTTGGATATAAGACGTCCAAATCCCCCGCGAAAGGATATTCTTTTCGTCACTCACTACTCAAGTCACATTCACTCCTTACCTTTGCGATTATCACCTTTGATAGGTCCCACATTCCTTTTTATTTTCTTTATCACACGCCAGCGGCATTTTTTGGATTTTATTCTGTGAATAATCCTGTTCATTCTTTTTAAGACCTTTTACGACCTATAGTAGTAAAGTTAAAGCCTCCAAACCAAAGGTCAGTGGTTTTTGATTTCATACTAATCATCCATTCGGCATATCCCTTTATTCTTTTCTTTCTACAATCTTATTTCGCATCTTAAACATATGCTGCATATGTTCCATATTCCCCTGCTGTCTATCATTAAACCTTCTTTCGTGAGGTACCAGCTACTAACTTTTATATAACGCATAGTACTTCATCTTGAGAGATTGTCCGGTTACAAGCTCCACATCATCTAAATAAAACATCAACTAAACACAACATTACAATAAACAACCAAACAATCAAAATGAAGTTCACTACTGGCACCATTGTAGCTTTCGCTGCCCTCATGTCTACCGCATCTGCCCATCTTACCATGTCTAATCCCGCCCAGTGGCAAGTCGCCGAGTCTGCGAGTGGTGGTAACCAATTTCCGCTCAAAGAGAGTGGTGAAGACTACCCTTGCCCTGGCGTTGCCCCCGCTGCTCCTGTAGCAACATACACTCCGGGCCAAAAGGCAACTCTGCAGGTTGTAGGCAGTGCAACCCACGGTGGTGGTTCCGGCCAGATGTCAATCACCTACGACCCAAAGCCCAATGCGAGCTCAAAGTTCGGTGTCATGACTTCGTGGGAAGGTAACCACCCAGTTTCTGCCGCGGGCAACGGCACACCAGACCCAACCGCGAAGCTTCCTCCACTTACTTTCACCGTCCCGAAGGGTCTCCCTGCCGGACCTGCTGTGGTTGCTTGGTACGTTAAAGTTCCCTTCAGCAGTCTATCAATTTTGAATAAAAACTAATATGGACCTATAGGACCTGGTTCAATAAAGTCGGAAACAGAGAGATGTACATGCGCTGTGCATCAGTCATGATTGGTGGTAGCGAGAAGTCAACTGCAGCATTCGACGCCCTGCCAACTATCTTGAGAGCCAACTCCGGTAACGGCTGCCTTGTGCCTGAGGGCATCACCGCCATCAAGTTCAAGAATCCTGGTCCTGAGGTGTTCGGTACCGGTGTCACCCCCGTTGAGTGCGACAAATCCCAGCCCGGCAAGGGGAAGAGGGACATCCGTTTCTCGACCGCCCACAAGCACCGTCGTCAGGTCGAGGCTTAAACAGTCCACAAAAAACTACCACTACTACTGGACTAGACTAGCTGGCTGGACGGGGCACCTACTTGGTATATTCATTTTTATAGACTTCTTTTTTTGTATTTTTTTGGTTTATTTTTTAGCTTTTTGTTGGTGCGCTCGCTAGTGCAGCGATTATGATTGTGGTTTTTTTCTTGTCTTCTTTCGGGGTCTCGGGTAGGGAAAAAAATATCATAGCGTGGCGGAACGGGTCTTTTTTTTGATTATTTATATTTCTCTTCACGTGTATCATATACATGAGGGTTGTTCTTTTGGAGGTTAGACTACTACTAGGTGTTATAGAAGGAGCGGATAGTATGGGGAGTGGGGGGGGGGGGGGATTACGTGTGTAAGGGGGAAAGGCGAATTACATACAGATTATACCCAGAACAAGTTTTCTAAATAATGAAAGTGATGGTGAAGAATATTATTCAGTAGAGTACTAATATCAAATCAACCATAAGCAGCGCCAGTAAGCACGCTAGCTCCGGAAGCTGAGCCTTGCTAGCAGCAAGCGGCGTGGAAAGATAAGCTTTGTAATTAATAGTCACAGCTTGAAAGATACCCTGGCATGGTTCGGCAAGTATTGCGAGCGCGGTTATATATAGCAGATGTTGTTTAGTTGGTGGTTGGTAGGTAGAACTCGTAGAGTAGAGCACCGGTGATGTTCGTTGGGTCGGTGTGTCTGTGGTTGTGCTAGGGTTGAGGTTGTACCGGGGTATGCGGGTCATGGCGTATCACCCGGTTCGTGGTTGGCTTGGCGGATATACTCTATGTTTGGGGGTGTTATTCATCTTTTATATACCCACCAAGTTTCGAAGTTTCTTTACATACTCACGATTCCCGGTTTCAAGTTTACAGTGCGTTTAATTTTAAACACAAGTTTATGACTCCTGGCCATGCCTCAAGAGTCAAGTGTATCAGCCCTACCGGTGGGTATACTCTAATCTAAGGGTCCATTTGGATATATTCGCTTTAAACCATGAATCACGGTCTAGCCGTATTCGCTGACCTTGAATAAATGTGGGTTGGAGATATTCTTAATTCTGGTAGCTGGGAGATGCAAAACCATTAAAATGTAGCTGGGAGATGCAGAGAGCAAAAATTAAAAGGATGGTGAGTGATCAATTCACCATCCCCAAGGTCCAAGGTGGGGATCGAACCAAAGGCGTGGTGCTGGATTTCAGTCAACGCAGGGTTAGGTGTGTATACTGCTAATCTAATCTGATCACGCCCTGCACTTGCCCCAGCATCCCTGTTGCATCAAGGATTCGCACTCGGAAAAAAAAGTATCGCAGAGCCTCAAAGCAATCCAAATCCCAATTAATCCCAACCCACCGCAAACCCACAAACCACCAAAGGCTCTACCAAAAAATGAAATTCGCAATTGGAGACGACGTTGGCCAGGTCAAAAGTATTCCCCCCCCTCTCTTACCCCTTCCCCTGCTACCTATCAATATCCAAAGCTAACCTCCACAGTAATAACGACCACCCGCGGAATCGACACCTCCGTCCAGACCTCCGCCAGAGCAAAGATTGTCTCCTTCCTCGAGCCAAATCGTAATGCCGCAATCCAATCAATGCAGGTCCTGCGGTTCCGCGGCCGCGACGGTATCGTATGTGCTGCTCTACCCCTCTTACCTTGCACCAGCTAACCACCGCCCGAATCCAGATCGCAGCAGCATCAAAAGGCGGTCTAATCCGCTTCCTCGACCCTACAGTCTCGCCGCTCGCCCCAGAGGACGAGCAGATCCTCCACACGCACCAGCTCCCCGGCGGCACCGACACAGACATCATTGGGCTCGGCCACACGGCCAGCGGGATACTCTACGCCGCGACCTCCACAGGCCACATCGAGTTCCTCACGCAGTTCGCCGACGAGTCCAGCACCATCGCAGTCTCCACCCACGACTTCCCCGGCGACTTCTCCGCCGTCGGCGTACACGGCGAGCAGCAAAGCGGAGTCCCAAAAGCGGTAGCACTCGGCGGGAAGGACCGCGACGTCGAGATCTGGGAGAGCTCTGTCTCGGACGGCAAAGCGACATGGAAGTCCGTATGGAAGGCCAAGAACGTCAAGCCCACAAAACTCGGCCTTGAGGTCCCCGTGTGGGTCTCAAATATCATATTTCTCCCCTGCTCACCACCACCGCCGGCCCCCGCGGTAGTGCCAGGGAAGGGACGAAGACATGCGCCAGCTCCTGCAACGACAGAGGCATACCGTCTCGCCGTATCCACCCACCACTCCCACCTCCGCCTCTACGACACGACGGTATCCCGTCGCCCAGTCTTCACAGAGACGCTCTCACGCACACCGATCCTAACGCTCCATCTACACCCCTCCACACCCGCTGACGCAGACTCGCCACTAACGTCGGCCAAGGAGTCGCCCGAGACCACGACCACGCTGCAGGAGCTGCACTTTGTGTACAGCGACAAGAACGGGCATTTCGGGCTTCACAGCACGGCGACGCGGCGCTCGCTCGGAATCTACAAGGGCAGCACCGGCGCTGTGTTGGCGACTGCCGCGGAGGGGGGGCTGGTGGCGGGCGTGGGGTTCGACCGCTATCTGTGGGTGTATGATGGTGAGGAGCGGGACGTGGTGAGCAAGGTGTATGTCAAGACGAAGGGCACGGCGGTGGTTGTGCTGGATGGAGAGGATGAGGTGGTGGTGGTGGAGAAGAAGAAGGACGAGGAGGCCGAGGTGTGGGATGAGTTGGAGGAGGTCGGGGATGAGGATCTCGGCAGGAAGAAGGGGAAGGGCGCGGAGGAGAAGGAGGACGATTATACGGAGGCTTTGGTCACGATCAAGAGGAAGAAGATGTCGAAGCCCCCCGGAGGGGATAAGAAGAGGAGGATCGCGTAGTAAATAAAAGTAGTCTAATGTGTAGATTTTTCCTTTTTTTTAGTATAGTTAAAAGTTTTTCCTTTCTTTCTGGAATTTACTTGTCTTCAAGCGCTTTCGTTTTACAATACACGTTCAAACCAATACATCGTGAAAGTCCACACACAGTTCATGCACCCCCCAATCATTACCCCAACCCAGCAGCCCCAGCCCTACAGTGTATCAGCTGCAAGGGCACCCACCAGCCTGCCGCTGTCTATCACTCACTCACTCACTTGCTCACCAACCTCCAGCTTTGTCCGGGAGATTGACATGGCGACGACGACGACGACAACATCGGAAGTGAGGGCGGACCTACCTACGTAGTATTCACTTCGGACATTAGGGCCCTCCCGCTCACTGGTAGTGCACGGTCTGATGCCCTACACGAGCTCAACTCGCCATAGCGGCTCTGCTCTAGAGACCTGGAGTCTACGTGGGGGCTCGTGTTTTGGCTTCTGACTCCTGACGAGACTCTACAAATAGACGCTACCTAGGAATCTTCTGGAAGGAGTGTTTACAGCTCCGGTGATTATCGCCAAATTTAAAAAAGTATTGCATCACGATGCATCAACCGGTGGGCGGATCACGATGCATCAACCGGTGGGCGGATCACGATGCATCAACCGGTGGGCGGATCACGATGCATCAACCGGTGGGCGGATCATGGGCCATCAACCGGTGTAGAGATATGCGATCGGAACTCGGCTGGGCTTTGGGTGGGTGGTGGTTCCGGGTGCTTGGGTTGGGTTCTGTGTGTCTGTTTGTCTGGTGTGCACTGGGAACGTGTTTATGGGTGCTTGGTGTTTTGATGGGAGCGGTGTTTGGTTCTAGAGTGAGTACATGTATCTACAGAGGGAATGGGTGAGGCTCGTGGGAATCGTGATGGGTGCCTTGAGAGTTAAGGGGACGAACGCTGAAGACTTGAGGGGGTTAGGTTTGTGGATTTTGATGTTTTGATGCTTCACGCGTTGTTTGTGTGCTGACGGGCAGCACTTTCTACGGCGATCGTGAATATATATTGCGAACGAGGTCTCTCTCGTCAGACGCGTTTCTTTTTCTAAAAACCCACGCGCAACGGCGTGAATCAAAAGAAGGAAAAACCTCATCATCGCGAGAAGTTTCTCAATCTATGGAGCCAAAAACCCCACAAATTAAAACGGGGCTCGAAAGAGCCAAAAGCCAAAAAGGAACCAAAAAAAAAGCCCAACTTCTTTCCTCTGTCCCACGCATAGCAGCCTAGGAGCAAAAGAAAGAAGAGAAACCTCAAAAAAAAGATTTCTGAACATTTTGCCAAAAATTCCTTGGCCCGCCGAAGCAGACCAAGAGCAGTCAACATAGTTGTAGTTTTCAACTAGCAAAAATCGAAGCTCAGACGAATCTTCACTGCTATCGATCTTGCCCTTGCACCGGGATGAGGAGAGAAGAGGGGAGCGGGGGAACTGCGCCTTTTCTACACGAGCGAGGAGCGGCCAAATTTTCAATCTGGGCCAAGAGTCAGGGCTTGCCCTATTATTATTACTTGGCAGGAAGGGCTGCTGCTTCTGGCGTTTTCTATAGGGCGGTGGGTGGGGGGTGGAGTTCTGGATTGGTGGCAACGTGTTGTGATGTTCAGTTCAGGGGTCGGGGTGTTCATGCCAGATCACTCGTTACGCGGCACTGCACGGACGGGGTCTGAGATGACACACAGAGTATTGTTATGACACCGAAGGAAACATGTTTTCACTTTACATGGGATGTGGTCTTGAAATCGAAGTCTATGACTCATGATATTAGAGCTTAAACTCATTGTGACACAGCCTTGCAAAGAACACGAAATGCTATCATAAAAATACGGGATGTTAGCTTTTTTATGACGATTGGATATATCGAAGGCATCCCGATAGAAGTCCTGAGGACACTACTTCATAACTGTCGATTCAAAAGAAATTTGTATAATAATAATAATGGTATCATAATAATATATCTAACATTGTCCATCAATCATGATGCATCTCCTAAAACCCGTGCTACACGCGCCGTCAAGTGTCTTCCGTACTCTCCTGTTTGCTCACAAACCCCTATTAATGATTCGAGTAATAAAAATAAGAAATAATAAAATTTACAAACTCCAGTATTCGCCAAACCAAAACAACGATAGGAAAAAATGGGTGCAAGAAAACAGTAATGAATATATGTTCATCTCGGTCCTTCAAAGCACGTGAGGACTAAGGACTTTCCCAAGCAGGCCTGTTCAGTACCTTACAGCTCCTCATCGCTGAGATCCATACTCTCCCCACCAACTTCCTGGTAATTGCTCGTAACGTCGCCCAATCTTCTCCTCTCCCCAGAAGCTGTGCCTCCTCTCCTGCTACTGCGAGTGCTTGACTCACCGCCGTCCCCACCATATCGATGGCCGCCACTGGCAGCTACAGCTTTGGACTTAAGCTTGCTCCGTAACATACGCTCATGCAGCATGAAATCCACATCTTCCTCACCTTGCACAACAATTTCGCCATCCGCAAGAAGAGTGGCCTGGAATAGTGCATCCGTGTTGGCGTTTTCCTTGAGTGCCTTCTCTAGAAGTTCAGTTGCTATAGGGTCCTGTGGGGATATAGCCAACGCCTGGAGTCTGTTAGCAAAACCATATATATATATAAAAGTAATGGAAAGAGTGAAGCAGTACCTCATGTAGACTAACTACCGCATCCCAAGGCCTCCCAAGCTGTAATTGGCAAAGTCCCACCGCACTATATATGTTTGCATCTCTCCCTTCGCCGGACCTCGTTACTTCTTCAAATGCCTCGAGGGCCTTGTCAAATAACTCTAATCTCCTATAAGCATGTCCCAAGTTCGCCCTGGTAGCAATCCATGCCTTTGGATCGCTCTCTATTTCGTCGGCAATTTCAAGGGCTTTGGTAAACAGTTGGATTGACTCCTTAAGATGTTCTTTGTGGTAGAACACGACACCGAGCTCGTTTAGTAAGAGAGGGTCTGATTTGCATAATATAAAGGCGTTGTTAAGATATTCGTCGGCAAGGGTAATATTGTTTAGTTGAAGATGTTGCATTCCCAGGAAAAGCTGCGGAAGATGAGTTCCTTGAAATAGTCGCGCAGCGGTAGAATAGGCTGAGATTGCCTGGTCGTGTTCTCCCTCAGCTGCGAACGTATGCGCAAATCCAATCCACGCAGGTCCAAAATGTGGATCCATCATTGAAGCTTTAGAGAAAAAACGACGTGCCTCAGCAATCTTTCCAGTAGTCAGGTAATAGACACCGACGGCCAGCCAGGTTACGGGCTCTTCGGGGTAATTGTCGGCCATGTCATGAGATATGAGGAAAAGCTTGTTTTTCATATTTAACTCATGTAGACAAGCAAGATAGAGAGGGTAAACAGCAAAGTTATAGTTGTCATCTTCAATAACGTTTTCACAAAGAGACAGGCATTCCTTAAATCTGCATTGAGTGAATAGAAGCTCTGCCCGGGAAAGGATCAAGTCAGCGTTCTGTCGAAGGTTGTACCTCTCTGCAAGAGTTTCCGTAGCATTGTTGAAGGACATAGGATTCTTGTATTTGCTCAAACGTGTAGTGTAAAGCATTTTTACAAATTCAGCTTGTTGGCCGGGTTCCTCGCCATCAGAGTTGATGCCTTCAAAATCCAGAGACTCCAAAAATGACCATTCCTCATCAGGTGACATGAGTGAATTTTTCATCAATTGGTCAAAAGCTTCAAAGCATTTCACATCTATGAGAACTGCAAGCTTGTAGCATTCCTTCGCCTTATCAAATGCATTCTGCTTAGCATATACGAGCCCTCGCAGATAACACATTGCGGCCTCAAACTTGATGTTGCTGCCCGGATCATCTCGATCCTTACTACTTTTAGAAGGCGCACGACGTCGGCTAGCTATAGAAGATGAAGAGCCTGAGACTAGATGGGTAGGGTTCTTATCGCCAAGGACATTGAGAGCTTCGTCGTATTTTGATTGTTTGATCAAACATAGGGCAGCAAGGTAGCGACATGAGGTGGATCGAGTGATAAGATCATTTCGCGTTAAGAAGCTCTGGGCCCTATTGTAATGACCTGTGCTGAAGTGCACTTGTGCAAGCCAGAATGCGTCTTTTGGGTCGCCTACTCGGGGGAGTACATACTTAGTAAGGAAGCTTTAGAGAGGCATGGGATTGAGCGGGGCACCTGTTAAAGCTAACAGTTTATCTCCAATGAATATCGCAGCATCATATTGGTGCTTATTCAATGCATCCTGTCGCCAGCTTTTGAGGAACTCCTCCATTTTCGGATTTGCGGAGACTCTGGTTTGGTTCCCACGCTTTCGGCTGGTAGTGGCGGTTTCGTCTGCAACAGACGGAGCAGTTGAGGGAAGCATTGTAAAACAATACAGTGATTGTTAGATGATCAGTTAAGAGGAAGAGAGCGGTAATGAGTTGTGGTGGGGCACTTGTGCAGTCTCAGAAGACATGAACGTAAACTTTGGAGTTGCGGCTCTGTCTTGTTATCTTGGCGCCAAGCAAGCGCGTTTACCAATCTCAATAAGCTTGCGCAACACCTAGCTTCATGACCGGCTTTAAGACACTCTGTAGATATTTATCACTACCAGTGAGAGTACGTTTTAGGTTAATTAACGAATAGAAGATAAAACACTTTTATTTCAGATCAAAATAGCGTGATAGTTACTCGAGTATTCCTCAGCTTAAAAAAAAAAAAACATAACCTACATCCATGTTTCCTGTAGGCGCATAAGTGATTAAACAAACATTCCGTTAAAAGATAGGTTCAATTGCAAACAAATTATCAAGGGGATGAAAGCCTCCAAAAGAAACACCGCCCATATAATCCTAAAAACAAAACAGTAGAGAGAATCAATGACAAAACAACCAATCACAATTACATGATTGCAACCTTCCTTCCCTTAACAACCTCCTTCTTTGGGACTACAATCTTTAAAAGTCCATTTTCCAAGCTCGCCTTAACATTATCGATATCGACACCTCCGGGGAATGAGAAAGATCTCTGGAACTCCCCAACAGTGCGTTCAGAAACCCAATACCTCAATTGCTGTCCCTCAGACTGCTTCGACAATTGCTTCTGGCTGTCATCTGCCTGCTTAGCGACTTGTTTGTCCTTGTTCTTCTCACCCTCGCCTGCCTCGGTTGGCTTTGACTCATCGGAGGTTCTCGTGACCGACTTCTCGATTCTACCGCTGATATGAAGGGTATTGTCGTCCGTAAATTCAATGTTGAGCTTGGACTTGTCATCGAGTCCAGGAAGTTCACCCTCGAGAATATAGGCGGAGTCGGTTTCGTGAACATCGAAATTGGGGGAGAATGCGCGCTTGTTAACGCTGGAGCTTGTAGTTGGAGCAACTGCTTGATTGAGCTCGTCGAGGAAACGGAAGACGTCAGAGGGGAAGGCGGAGGTGGGAGTGTGGTAGCGTGAGAAGAATGGCATTTTGACCGTGTTCTTGGTAATCGAGTTTTGTGGATTTAGAAACAAAATGTTTGATAGTGGAGTATCGAAGCTATGAAGCTTTGGCTTGTAGAGCGGTTTTGAGACTGAAGAATGAAGATGGGAATTGAGGAAGAGTTCAATGGGGGCTTATATATACCTCCTCTACCCCGCAAAACTATTAAAATGTAGATCTTCATCTTTCTACGTGAGTGGTAGAAACATCTATCTGTCTGTAGAAATCTCGCGATATCACATGCACTTCGAGTGATATGTGGTGACGTTACGTCATCGAAACTTCGCGAACCTTCTAGGGTTAGGGTTACCGAAGCTTAAGGAGTACAGTCGAATCTCCCTCTACTCCTTAAGCTGTCGATACTGGCCCCCCCTATAACAGAGGGATTAGATTTGTATGAGAGATCTATTATTTGATAAGAGAGATAACGAGATCTGTTAGTAAAACCACACCAAATTTGCATTTTCTTTTTTTTGGTGGGTCAGCATTTTCGTGACAGCTTAAGGGATAAGAATAATCGCCCTATAAAGAGTGCGGTGTATACGTAGGGGCCCATCTGTTTTGTATCGCCTGGTAGGTCAGAATCTGGTACTCTACTCTACAGCCTTGGCACCTTTGGGCCAAAAATTACCGTTTGTGGGAGTTTCTTGTTGAAATCTCAGCTGTATCATTACCCTATGGCAAGGCAAGCACCGGGCTTGTACAATATGCAGAGCACCAGATTCTGAGCATGTTTCGGTAGGTAAATTGCTGTATTCTTTCTATAAGAATACCCTTATGACTTTTCCTACCCAACAGGTAGATTGTTTTACCCCCAGAACTGTCGAAAACCTCGAAAACTGATTCAAGTTTGGACATAGACCCTAACCCTCATAAGCCTATAAGGGTACCTGCCCTATAAGGGTGCCATCTCGCGGCCCCATCGTATCCTTATAGGGAGATGGAGATTCGACTGTATGAACTCTAGACCTCCGCCTACAACGATGATCTTAGATCTACGAGGGACATGGAGAAGCTTCTAGTCACTTTGTGGAGGCGGTTGGTAGGGCGACCATGACATTTGAGTGTTCGTGACACCATTTTTTGTCGTTGAAATCACAGACTATCACTCGTCTATCGAAAGGATCACAAGCCGACTGTACTTGATTGATTGAGTTACGCACTCTTCTACAAGCCGAAACGTGGTGTCTTTTATCGTAATTACGCTAGTCTCGTGCCCATCTCCTACGAGTAGCTCGCTAACTGCGGGGTGAACGGCGGTCATTATAGGGGCATCTTAGACCTATTCCACGCACTAACCCACCTAGGGCTATTCAAATCTATTCAATGTGAATCTCTACCTAACGCCCACAACCACTAAGTTCCGCGGGCTCTCACTATACTCAAAGCCAGCTTCTACCCAACACTCCCTCAACTCCCCCCTCTCCTTTGCTTCACTAAGGTACGCAAACCTATCCACGACCACCAGACTTTCTACCACACCCGCACAAAAAGCCATCAGGCACCATAAGACACTCAGATCCTTCTTCCTATCTCCAAATCTTTCTTCGTATCCTTTGATTTCCGCTGCCGTAATATTGACCTTCTCTTCCCACCCTAATTTCGAAATCGCACCAGTCACATATGACACAAAATCCTCGTAGCACTTTTTCCTCAACGACCCAATAATGACTGGTTCACCGCCGTCCGGTGAAATTAGCCCCTTGTCTGCGAAAATTCGCTGAAGGAGGGCGCGGAAAAAATGGCGGGTGAAGAAGGCGGAGGAAGTTTCCTGAGTCCAGTTCTGGGGCGCTTGACAGGCCATCATTCGTGCAGTTATATTGAGTGAGATAGAATTGTCAGTAAGGAGAGTGGAGAGCGGAAAGCCATGGGGATCGGTAGAGATTGAGGTTTTGATCAGGCGGGGGTGCAGGTCACGGTATGGAGGTTTGTAGGTTGGGCCGAGCTTTTCGGTCATCAGGTTGTAGCAACAACCTAAGAGGTATTAGTAGGAATCATTGGTCTGAATATTGGGATAAGATACCTATTAGAGCGACGGCCTTTACCTCAGGGGTTGCGATAAAAGCCTTAAGGGCATGGTGGACGAGATTTCCACAAGAATGGAGAGAGATTAAAAGTAGTCGCTTGTCATTATCTTGTTTTAGGGTCCCGTTGATCTGATTCTGTGCCTGATTGTGATTTATCGATCTGCATTCTCCGTTTTTGCAGCTCTCATTATTGATGGCTGGTTCTGTCTTGGGGTTTTTTTCTGAAATACTCAAGTCCCGAATTTCACGAACAACTTCGCTCAGATTCCCGTCCTCGATGCGTTTCTCGATATACTGAAGAGAACCACTAGCTTCCTCTTCTTCGATTGGCCCCTCTTCAAGATCGAGCCCTCCTTCTTTCTTTCCTTTCCCTTTCTTCTTTTTCTCCCTTTTCTTGGCTAGATTATCGAATCTCTCATCCATTTCCTTCGCACCATCGATATTTGCCGTCCTTGACTCAATACCCACGACATGGTAGTTATATTTCTTTGCCAGAGTCCTCGATAAATAAGCCTGGCCGGACCCGAAATCCAGAATATGTGTAATCCCATCCTCCGGGTTCTCCTTTGCAATATCCGTCACCAAATCATCCACGAATTCCGAAAAGTTCTCAACCTGCACAAAGGACAGACTTCCGCCGGTGGTAAGAAAGACTCCTTTTTTGAATTATATCGACTATGTACATGTATTGCGCTACATACCTCGTGTATCTTCTTCGGCTTCATCCCTGCATTCAGTGCCCACTCTTCTCCGTCTTTGCGCCCAGCGCCCATACTCTTTCGCAGCGCTTTGCGCTCTCTATCTTTACGCTTAAACTCTCGTTGTAGCGAGTGCGCCCTCACATCTGCTACGAAGGTCTTTAAAGTTTCTGGACAGCTTGATTCAATACCTGGAATTTCTGTGCGTAAAACTAGCTCCAAGATTTCGTCCAGTGATTTGGTGGTGAAGTAAGTTATCCATTCTACGGGAAGGATAGTATGGTACAAATCCGTTCCTAAAGGCGGGGCTGCGGTTGAGGAGTCGCGGGTGAAGAAGTCGAGAATATGGACGCCGCCGCAGAGGGTTTGGAAGAGTGGATTGAGAGAGAAGGTGAGCAAGGATTTTATGTAGGACTCTGAAGAGGTAAATTGGGGTGGGTACGGGAGAGTTTGGCGTTGTGCCATTTTAACGGGGTAATTAAGAAAACCAGTATTCTGTTTTGGTATTTATTGAATGTGTAGAATTGGAGGATTTGTTTATCGCGGGGAATATTAAGTTTTTCTCGGGAATAATTGGTGCATGCAGATCTTGAATTTTGTGAGACTGAATAAAGATCTGTAAATCAGTGATTGGATGACATAATGGATGTCTTGGCGGGCTAGAGCACTCGTAGGCTTTTGTTTAGCTCCTGTCTGCGCTACACCGTCAACCCGAGGGAGAGACGCGACTTTCTATCCTTCTTGTTTCTGAATATACCCTCTTTCAGTCCCCGTCTTCCCCCAGCTCCTTAAACTCATTATCCGTCATGTCTACAATTACCTCGTCAGCCCTCCAAAGTTCACAACCGTAATTCCCCTCCCCCCACTTCTCAATAATTATTATCCCCTGTATCTTCCACCATCAATCAGTCATGAAGTAAATAGCTAATAAAAGTATAAATGCAGCCCCATTCTTCCCGCCGCATTCTCTGGCAACCAACCTAAGACGATTCGCCTTTATCCTTTGTCTAACTACACCTTTGGCACCAAAGAGAACCAGCCAGAAGAGGACCCATCTGTGCTTGCCCGTCTTCAGAGGTTGCAAGAGCACTATGAACAGTATGGGATGCGCAGGACGTGCGAAGGCATTTTAGTATGCCACGAACACTGTCATCCTCACATCCTGATGCTTCAGATTGCCAATGCCTTCTTTAAGCTGTTAGTCCTCTCTACTTTCCCACATTTTCAATCGCGCAACTCTCTAACTCAATACAGACCAGGAGACTACCTCCACCACCATGAAGGCGAGCTTGAGGGATTCAAATCTCGCTTGAATGAACGTCTTGCTCCCGTAGGCAGCCAGTTCTCCGGCGAGGGTGTTAACGACGAGTGGGAGATTGGCGACACATTGGCTCAATGGTGGAGGCCCAACTTTGAGACCTTCATGTATCCGTTCATCCCTGCTCATGTCACACGGCCAAAGGAGTGCAAAAAGCTGTACTTCATTCAGCTCCCAAGGACTAGTAAGCTTGCTATTCTGGCTGATTCTGGAATTGGTCTTACTAACGATTGATCAAACAGAGGTCCTATCGGTCCCAAAGAACATGAAGCTTCTCGCCGTCCCTCTGTTCGAGCTATACGATAATACTGCGCGCTACGGTCCACAGCTATCGGCAATTCCTCACTTACTCAGTAGATATAATTTCGAGTTTGTGGATGAGAACGGTAAAGTCGTTGCGGTGACTCCTGGTGGCGGGCCAGATGGTGATCCCAAGACCAAGATTCTTGCTGGAGGGGAAGAAAACGGGGATAAGATCGACTAAGCTCCTACGAGGACTAGTAATGATGATGACGAGTGGTATATAACCACGAAATACAGATTGATGAGGGAAACCACCATTCTTAACTTCATATATAATGTATCGCAAGGGTTTACATCGTTTGTTCTGGCCAAGTATGTCGGACTGTTATTCATTTTGAGGGTGCGGATAGCTTTCAGGGTCCCGTATCTTTGGGAGAAAACGAATAAAAACGGGTATTATTACGAGATGATAAAGCTATATGAGAAGGATCGAGTTTTGTGATTTTGGACTGTCTTGTGTTTATACTTGCATACACGCACGTGAAATTCTTGGAACGAGACTAAGGTTTTGGGCATTTTTAATCCATACTATTCAAACCTTGCCAAATACCGAATTGTACTCAGAAGATCGAACCATTATTAAGTATTTCTTGCCCTCTAGCTCTAAGCAATCTAACGGTATTCTCTCAAAACGAGAGTAAAACAACTCCTAAAATAAATGATAACCACCAGAAACCCCGACATTACGCCTCCAGGAACATAGCAAGCTGGAAAAAAATAGTACAATTACAAATACAAAGTTGACTTGTTTTCCAAAGACCAAGGTGGTATTGGAACAAAGAAAGAAGAAGGAACGAAAAATTAAGGACTATAGAATCAGTACTAATACCAGTAGGATAATTAGTACCAATATTAACACCGCAATACAGCACGAGCTTGCCGTATCTAGTCCCCACAGCACAATTAGTACAATGACCCTGGGGCAAAAACAAAAAATTCAAGCAACACATACCTTCATTCTTTCTAATGAACCCATTTAAGTCTCTTACGCCCCTTCTGAGCTTATCCTCTACCCTCGTTGCATCTCTATCTACACCATCCAGCATTTCCGCCTGCTCTTCAAGCTCCCTATTCATCTCATGAGCCTGTTCCCTCAAATTACCCACAGTCCTACTCACATCCTCTAGCGCCAGATCCTGATCCGCCAGGAGCTCTTGCTGCTGCTGCAGATTGAACTGCGTATACGCCTCGTCTGCACTTGTCCCTCCCCCACCTCCAGGATAGCTACTCCCACCCGCGCCACTACCAGGGGAGTGCTTTGCTAGCTCCTCCCGGATATCCGAGACCTCATTCGAGACCTCATCTACGAACCTCCGACGCCGCACTACCTCGGGAACATCGAGGCCAAACTTGTAGGGATCCTGTTCGATCGCGCCGACAGAAGCTTGGAGGTCGGTCAAGTCGGCCTGGAGGTCTGTGAGGTTCTGAGCGAGATCCGAATAGGCAGATGCAAGCTCGGGAGAGGTGAGAGAGGGAGTTAGGGAGCGGATTCGCAGGTAGGAGGAGAAGGACTGTCTGGTTGTTTCTAGGAGAGAGAGCACGTCACTACGCGCTCACTGGTCAGTCCAGGTAGCCTTTGAAGGGTAAGAAAGCAAAAAAAATACTTTTGAAATTGAATAAAAGGATCATTATCTGCAGTTGAGGACATCATTTTGGCGATTTTTGAGGCGCCTGAAGCTGGGGTTGAACGTAAATGAAGCTGACGTTGCGGTGAGTCTTATCTTATTGATCTTATCTTATCTGATGGAACTGCAGCACCCATTCCTCTACAACTAAGTCACCGTTTGTGACCTCCATCTTCTGGCACCATGAACTCCTCCTCTTAGTTAGGTTTTTACCTATCATTGTTGTGAAAACCCAGCACAAGCGAAGGGACAAGATCGCCACTTACAATGATTTGGTTAAGACCGATATCATTAAGAAGTACAGAGGAGCTACAAATGAAATAAATAGGAGGCGGAACTACTAACACCTCCTATAGATATTCTTTGTGGTGGGCATATCATTAAATTAATATTCTGTACCACGAAACGAGAATCAACTACATTACCGTTTAGTTCTAGCTACTAGCATCTTATTAAGAGAGGCAATTGCAACCCATGTATGCACCGTACCTTAACTCATGAGCTGCACTCATGATCCACGGGTCGAGCTTATGGCTCGAGGCACCCCTTTACATATCCTTTTGCGTACAGCTTACAGAAAGATAGGGGTTCAGTTTTTTTTTTTTTTTTGGGGGGGGTGTTGTGGGGATGACTTTAGGCCTATGAAGGTAATATAGATCCTAAAGTGATCCAGATGGAAAAGAACCAAAGCGACTACCTCACATATCAAGTAGTAGCCCACCAGCAACCACCTGGCCTCAGAAGTAGCTTAGAAAAGATGAATTTTGTGATGATAACGGGGGATTATGTAGCTCAAAAAAAGGGTATTTTGATTTAACCCTAATTCCAAGTAAACACAGACTCGTTCCTCGGGGAAGATATAGTCCAAAATGGCCATATTACGTTGAGACAGGTAAAGATAAGCCAGTGTTTAAGGCTATGGTTTGTAGATACTAAGTACATGTATTTAGTCACATTAGGTATATTATATATTCATATACTCTTAGTTCTCAGGCGATCGCGATCAACCCCGGCCTCAGGGGTAACTTCATTAGCCTTTATTAACTTATTATGGTAAAAGATGTTAGAATTAACAGACATGACTGGTCTATAGAATTTCAACGAAAGACACGGGTTTCTTCACAGGCCAACTTTACCTCGTTGCTATTCGTTATCGTAGAAATTCGATAGACATATATTAACCGAGTGATATATTATGATTCACGGAGGCATTTATTATCGCCATGGGATGTGATCATCCTCGGCACAGTTGATCTACAACCGTCAAATGCTCAACGAAATTATGTGTGAAAAATACAGTCCCGTATATTCTTGCACTCCCGGGAAACATCATAGAGTAGAGTAGTAGTTATTTTTACACATCACATCCGCCACCACCGAGAATAAAGAGAGGTAAAGACAAACAAGCCCAACCAAATATCTTACAAAAAAGAAGAGAAAAATAACTCCGCTTCCGGATCCCTTCCCTCATGCTACCCATATTTTTTTCGGCCAAAACAAAACAAAAATACAGACCATCTAAAAATTCAATCTGAAGGAGAAACCTTCACAAGTAGTTGTAAAAAAACAAGAAAAAAAATCCCAGTCCAGATCCCCAAAGAAAGAAAGAAGGAAAAAAGAAAACAGGGGAAGTAATAGACAAAAAACCGCTCTTATATCATAGCATCCCTAATCATCGAACAATCTACTCATTCCACTGAGTCTCCTCTTACTTTCTCGAACTCTCTCTTGAGGCTTCGAGTTAACGTTTGCCAGATCATTATTCTTTGCGTTATTAGGAACGGCACCTATCAACCTGTCAATTCCTCCGGACTGTATCACCTATTCTATGAGGCGGGATTTTGGTCAGATGTTGAATCGGATTGTCATGGAAATTTTTTTAAAAATTACCTTCAAAGCTGCGACCACCGCGGCCCCCGAATCCACCACGGCCTCCGAATCCGCCACGACCACCTGAAGATCCACGGTCTCCGTAGCTAGGGCGGTCTCCATAGCTAGGGCGACCTCCGAATCCACCACCACGACCTCCTGAGGATCCGCGGTCTCCGTAACTGGAACGACCGCCAGAGTATGAATCGCGCGGTCCTTGGTTTTGAGAGCCCCTGTTTTCCCAAGGTCTGGAACCGCCACCACGGCCGCCTCCAAAACCACTACCGCCTCGAGAGAATCCACCACTACCGCCACTGCCGCCGCGAGAGAATCCACCACTACTGCCACTACCACCGCGAGAGAATCCACCACTACCGCCAGTGCGTTGACCACTTTCCTCGCTGGACTCGGCATCATCGTATCTACCCAAGTTGATACCCGGGACTCTGTCCAAGCCCATTTTACGGGCAAGCAGAGGGCTGATGAAGGGAGGTTCTTCCATTCCCCAGCCTAGGGTTGAGAGACGATTAAGGGATTCGACCATGAGACGCTTGTCACCAATGGCCATGTAAAGACCAATAAGAGCAGAGTATGTTTTTGCTTTTAAATCACGTGGAACCCTCAGTGAAGCTTCAGTGATGGCTGTGATGATATCTGCGGTTTTCTTGGGAAGATTCTGCTCGGCACCCAAATCAATGCTGGCTATAGTGAGAGATTCATCCTTAATTAGAGGAAGTCCCCTGAGCTCACGCTGGACCTGGTGGGCCTCGACTTGAGGGATGAGGAGGTAACCAACACCTTCAGCTGCCGAACCACGAGCTGTACGACCGAGACGATGGATGTATTGTTCGTGGTTTCTGGGTCCACCGACCTGGATAACGTGCGTGACTTTAGGGAAGTCCATTCCACGGGCAGTAACATCGGACGAGAACAGGATTGCGGACTCAGACTTGCGGAAGCGGGTGGCGGCAACGTCACGCTGGGCCTGAGTAAGACGGGAGTGAATCTCAAAAATTTTAGTGGGGTAAAGTGGGTGACTTGCACCAACGCCGCCGGCTCCAAGAGAACGGAAGGTTTCAGCGGCGAGGGATGCGAAGCGAGTGGCCGAGAAGAAGACAATGGCCTTGAAAGGAAGTTTTTTGGCGTCAGGGTTTGCATCATAGGCAGCATTAATTGCTGCAATCTCGCGGAGGACTAGCTCGTATGTTGCGGGGACAAGGTTCTCAAGACCATGGCATTTGATGAGTCTTTGTTCGACCCTCTCGTGTGTTGAGGCCTCACCCTTCTCCACCATTCGTAGGAATTTGTAATCTTTGCCCATAGTCTTCTTGACGACACTCATAACCTTCTCGGGTACGGTGGCGGAGAACAAAAGAGTTTGCCTTCCTTTTCCACTGTTACCAATGGGCGCATCTCTACGGGGCAATGCATCCATGATCTTATCGAGTTCAGTGGCGAACCCAACATCAAGAAGGTTATCGGCTTCGTCCATGACGAAAATCTCCAAGTTGGGCGCCGTAACACCTCTGGGGTCTGTGAGGAGATCAAGCAATCTACCGGGAGTGGCAATCAAGACATGACAACCCTGTCTGTGGATAGCATTGAGACCCTCGCGCTTTCCAGAACCGCCCACAGCAGTTTGACAAATAATATTGGTTCCACTGGTGAGCTTCTGTGCATCAACTGCAATTTGGGTGGCCAATTCACGAGTAGGGGAGACGATTATTGCACGAATGTCTGCAAATGAGGAGTTACGGTCACCCCTCCTAGGTACCGTGAGGGGTCTTTCGGCTGTGAGGACGCGCTGTAGAACAGGGAGAAGGAAAGCAATTGTCTTTCCGGTACCAGTCTTGGCCTGGGCAAGGCTGCGATGTTACACATACTTATCAGAATAACATTTCCCCGCACAACCGCAAATATAATTAGCGGGGGGGCAAAAGAAAACTTACACATTGTCACCATTAACGGTCTCCATAATAGTCTTGCGCTGAACCTTTGTCATCTCCTCGTATCCTAAACCTTTGGTAATAGTGTTGATAATCGACTTGTCGACAATACCTCTATCCGCGAGCTGCTGGAACTTTGTGATCTCCTCATTCTTTCCGAAATGATGATCCTGGCCATGGCCGGAGAAATGGTATTCTCCGGCTGGAGGATCAGAGTCTACGACTTCTTGTGTGGCGGCATTGAAGGCCTCATCTCGTAAATATGTAGAGACGGCAAAAAATCTTCGCTGTGCGCCCGATGATTTGAGAACAGAGGGTGCTGCGGGTCGAACAATTGCGATTTTTGAAGAAGGGGTAGAGATGAGAGCACGAGCGCTGGCGCGCAGGAGAGCGGGCGATTGGCGGCGCAAGGAAGAGGAAAACATTGCGGCAATGGGTTTTGGGGGAAGGGGGTGATGATGATGAAGTAGAGGGAAAATGAGCGATTACAAGAAAGTTCCTTTCACAAAGAAAGGAATTGAGATAAGGAAGAGGACCAGAGGGGGGGGGATGGGGATGAAGAAATAGGAAGGGAAATTTTCTTCTCACTTAGTGGGGGAGACTATGTACTTACGGTGAGAAGAAAAAATCCATTAGATAAGGTTTTTTTTTTATTTCTTGGCGAGGGTCCTGGAACATAGTTATTCCGCTACAGCGATGGTGGGTAAGATTTTCCGGGATCATCCGCCACCAGTCTCAACCCAAGACCTGGCTGATACTTTATTTAAACAACAATCTACATGTAGATACATGTATGGACCTGGGACTAGGGTTGACCCCAAACTCTCGGTTCATTCACTTGTGAGAGCATAAGTGACATCGATACTCATCGCAAGTCTTCACTAGATTGATTAATCAGACTCTTAAAATTGAGCGCTGAACTCAGACCGGTAGCTAGCTGGGGCCCATGGCTACATGTACATGTAGTAAGTTGGTTCCTTTTATATTGATATGTGATTGGCTACTCATGATCGCAAGTGATAATTTCCAGAGGCGCTAGTATCTTAACATGTAATTAACCCACGAGTGATAAGCTATGAACTTACTTTGCACGTACCTGGCCTGGAGAATACATGTATTTTCCGGATATCGATTCCGTACCAAATAGTAACTAATTTTGCAGTGGGAAAGATAAAATATTCTAAGGCCCTTGATGCCCAATTATTAGAAAA